ATAAGCATATATAGGCTTATATTTAATTAGCTAACATAGGCTTAATGTATATTATCTTTGGACAACAGCAATGATAATAATAATAATAAAATCAGTAATAACAACGAATAACATAAAACATAGAGAGAGAGAGAGAGAGAGAGAGGTGAGAGCGAGTGAAACAGTAAAGTGAACTAATGATTTCCTATCTCTTAGAAATAAAGAAAAACTATTATTTTCTTTCGTATATCTGTAACATCTTTTAGAATGATACTTTTGACGGTGAATACATGATATTCTCAGCTTTTTTAATTCTTCCATTTCCACTCCATCAACATCATCATCATCACCACCACCACATGTCCCTTCTTCTCCTTCTCCTATTTCTATCTACCCCTAATATTATTACTTATATTATGTAATCAAAATCAATAAAATTGTGGATAAAAAATACAGAAGAGAATGCTTAAGCAATGATAATTAAAACGATGAGTAAAAGATAATCTGAATAAATATATAAAAGTATATTGAAAGATTTGATATAATTCCCTATTGAAATGAAATACTAAACTATAATATTATTATTATTATATTAAAACAAATTGATCTTTGATAAATTGAATCATTATCCTCTTATTTTATATCATTTTCTATTACATTCACTTTACTTCTTTAAATGAATTAAAGAACAATCTATAAAAAGTCTATGAATTCATTTATTATTGTATATATGGGCAACTTGAACCCATGTATATAATATATATATGTACCTGGTCCTATGTTATAGTTAACTAACTAACTGACTGACTTCATTATTTATGAAAATTGTAGATGTGTATTGAATTTAAGAAAAAGAGAAACAAAGTTTACAAACTATAAACATGTTCATTTGATTATTTAAAAAGAAAATGAAATGTAATTAAGTAGTTAATAATCTTCTTATTAAAATTAATGCTTCAATTGTTCTTCCCTCCTCCCCACCCACCCGACCAATCCTTTTATTTCAATCAAAACAAATACCTGGTTTTTAAGTTTAATCATCATTAAATGTCAAATGTTATACTTGACTAATTCAACTAACTTGTTTTATTCATAAAAAAGAAAATTTTAAAACTAAATGTAACATGGGCTTTGTGGAGATTTTTAGAAAATTCACTGATTGAAATCATGAGTCAATTGAAGCTAGACCACTATAGAAAATTTGGAAGTACTGGACGGCCGTTTCATCCTAGTATGGGACTCCTCACCAGCGCGCATCCACGATCCCACACCCCGCGGGATTCGAACCCAGGACTTACTAGTTTCGCACACGAGCACTTAACCACTAGTGAGAAGCCGTTACCAGTGGAGTTCAACCAAATCTGTTGTGAGATATCAGCTCACTGAAGACAATGGTGTACGGTGGCGAAACTTCGTAAATTTAACATGGTCTATGTAAAATAGTATCACAAATGAATAACAGGAAACGTTTTTTGTCAAACGTTTGTTACTACTGATATAAATTATTAGTAGATGAAAAATAGCAATGAAACTTTTTATGACAGATGAAGAAACTATGATAAAATATTTCAAGTTGTTCCAAATAAAGAAAATTGAGTATTATGCACAAATGTCAACGAATTCTACCATGTTGTTATGCAGATTTCATTTGTAAATAATATTTCAAGAAATAGTATTGATTGAGATCAAGAATCGATCTAAGTCAGAGCACCATGCTAACCGGTGTTGAAGATGGTTGGAAGAAATTTAGGGGCAGCCAAAACAAAACGTGAGATCAGCGCTTGAAGTCACTAACTTCTAGTCTTAGCCATGTTGGTAGTTGCAGATTACTCGGTTGGGGTCCGCGTGACTATCGTAATCAATGGTTGGAGACTCTGGGTGACATGGCTCAGCATCGATCACAATGGTGTAGGTGTATTACACTCTGTCTTCCCTTAAACTAAGAGTTTAAAATCGCTTCATCTTTCTTTCTACGTACTGTATCCTTATATGCAATCTTTCCTTTATATATTACCACCATTGACTTAACCAATCCTATGAATCCGCTGTTCATCTTGCTGTGCTAATGTGGTATGGCAACTTCGATCGATGCATGTATGTACCTGGTCCTACGTTGAAGCTGACTGAGACCACCATTGAAAACCCGAAACACTGGATGGTCATTTTGTCCTAGTATGGGGTTCAACAGTGCTCATCCACGATCTCGCATGTGGGACTCGAACCCAGTATATCCGGTTTAATCTCTTGACTACTGAGCTGGCATGCAACGGTATTAATGTCTTACATCAGTAAATCCACTAAATTGCACGATCGTCTTTTATTGTCTTCGTTGGACAACTGCCTCACACCCGACAGGGATTAGCTCCATTGGTCACAGGTATCGATTGTGGTCCAAAATTGGTTGACTCATGATCTCAGTCAAAACTCAACAATCTTCATAACTCTATACTGGTAAATAATATTGAATTAAACAGTTTGTTTTCAGAAAGAAAGATTTTCTGTTGCTTTAAATAGGAATAGGTATTTGCGCAGCAACGCAAAACGGTAACTTAATGGTATTGTACTGTAACTGGTTTTTAATATCAATGGTTGTAAGAAGTTTGTACTTCAAGTGACACATCATTCATATCCGTTGGAGAAAACTATGCTTTATATGGAGTGCATCCAATTACAAACTATTTGGTAGATGACCGAACTCGATATTGTTAGGAAATGCTGAAGCTCGAATTATATATATATATATATATATATATATATATATAATGTTCTAGCCAGTCCTCCTAGATACATTCCGTACATAGTTATATCTCCAGTCGCCCACAGTGTAAACACAATTGCAACGTAAATTGTCTATTCATTGGTACTATTTAAATCTCATTCCCTCTCAAATGCCTAACATTACAAGAGATTTTACTTAATTCTTTACTAGTATAACTTATATAGAAGAATAAATTCCAATACACATCCGACAGAAGTATAGAAATACTGTTTGTCAGATGTGCTGTTGTAACGAATTAAAGCTTTTGACGTTTTGTTTTTAGAGAAATACGACTGAATAGTGCAAGTACTTAACCACTGAGAAATAGTTGGTGTCTATTTTATGTTCACCCTACTTTAAATGAATCTTTGCAGGGTCTTCATACAACAGGTATTGTAATTTGTCTGATGAAAAGAGAAAACACCTTCCGGCAAGACTATAATTTATGGACGAACCAATTAGATTTGGTTCGAATTCCATCTATCCACTTGGCTAAATAGCATTTAGGTTATATCAATTCGTGATGAAATACCCTATGTCTAATTCTTAACGCTGACCATCGACAGTAAATTATAATCCTAATTCCTCTCAGATTTACAACCTTCATTATGCCCTAGTAAGTAGATGGACACTCTCAAGGTCACTCAAATATCGCCCATAAATAATAGTCTCATCGTTTCTAGAATTTAAGGGTTTATTAATAAACCTAGAAATATTGTTGGTTTCTGTACATGAATGAACCTTGAAGTGAAGCTTGTATTTCTAACTTTTCACTTTTCTCTATTGTTCCGGTTTGTATGTAGAAGTCATCTGAAGATACAGAAACCGGACAAGAAGTTAACAACAACCGCTCGAATAGCAAACTTCATATCATATATCATGTGATATGAATTCATCATAATGACTGAATAAAACAATCTTGATTACTAAAACAGGGAACTTGTTAAGATTATTCAAATTGAAGACAATTTGCATCACGAACTGACCATGTGAATTAGACATTTACCACCGATCATAATATTGTGAAATGATTGAATTTGGAAATATAAACCAGTGGATACTGACTCAAGGGTTTAAAGATAATACTCGAAGGTATGGTTTTTGATTTGTGACAGGGCTATAGTTATTCAATGTTGAGAAGAAAGCTCTATTGTGCTCTCCGGTTTTTAATAATTCCGAAACTGAAATCAGTCTGTAACAAATACAACCTAGAAAACATCTAAGTTGTTTCATATATGCTGGTAAATATTTTCGTAAGATGTATCTGATATGACTGAGTTGACTAATTAATCCAAAAGCTTACAAAAATTCCGGTATTTATTTTTGGATCCTGAAATTATGAATCAGTATACATTATACATATATATATACCCTATCCAAATGCTCCCACATACACAGTCACTGTCAGGGAAGTCTTGCTCACTGCCGCGAGTCTCGTGGCAAGGGGTGTTGTTTACGAAATTCAGAGGACGACAACTGAATGTCCGAAGCTTTAAACGGGTTGGCGAATATAGAGGACACACCTAGGGGAGTTGAGAAACCCTGATTTTAAACCGATAGTGAATGTGGACTGCAGGATCCTGAAGAAACAAGTGTCGTATCAATCTACTTTTGATCACCGGCTACTATGCGACTGCATTTCCTCCTAACGTCACTCTATTACCATGTTCATTATTTATTTGAACACATAAATATCGGTACAAGAGGGCACCAAATAGATATGCGCCACATCATATTTGTGTGTGTGTGCTGTGATACTGCCCGGGTGTCCAGATCGAAGCAGGTGGCTTTCATAGGTGGCCACACCCCGAGCCTTTGGCCTAAAGGTCTGATCCACAAGGCAGTGGAGCATCGTGAGGAGATGAGTCCCACCGATTGGTTCATACGCCATTTGTTCCTTCAGGATACTGGAGCCCATGTGCACCATTGGTTTGGAATCCGGTTAAAGCGCCGAACATCCGCTTTCGCTTTCTGTCCCCTCAATTTCGTAAACAACACCCCCGCCACGAGAAGGCAGTGAGTAGGACTTGTTTGGTGGAGGCTGTATACGCGTGGTCGTGTGAAAGCATTTCGAGAGGGAGAGCGGACTCTCCCCACTCTCGGCCGTACCAGGGCATTTGGAGGCCCATTATAAGATTAGACTTATAGGTCAAAGACTCAGGGAGTGACCCTTAAACAAATCGAACTATAAAGTGTAGCACATGTATACTTGATGTTTCCTTGTTTCAATGTTTATGTGTTTAAATAAATAAACAAATAATATCAATATGAATTGATTTTAATCGACCTCAGATTTGTTAGTTATAGTTGAATCTAAAACAAGACGTTTTGCACCACCACCACCACCACCACCAACGACAACGACGACAAGAAAAAAACAACAACTCTATAGTAAAAGCATAATCTGTAAAAAACGAAAGGGGAATAAAAAACATCGGTGATGCGATTCACTTTCTATAATGATAGTAATAATCCATGCAAATAATGATTCTTTAAAATGTTGATTAAAAAAAAATAAACACTGGACAATAAATTTAGATTCTTTTTGATATTAACTTTAATGTTGACAATATATTCGGTGTATCTGGGAAGAGAATAGCAGCACGTCGTAAATTTAACAATAAATTCATATATAAATCATGATGTTGTATAGATAATTGATGAACTTTATTCACAGTTAACCACCATAAACTAAAATTGACTAAAGCTGTAGCAAATATCTAAAGTTGAATAAAACAAACAAACAAAAAAGAAAAGTGGGAAGGAAAAAATGCACACACATAACTATAAACATTATCACTATGATTACTATGCCTACAACAATAGGTAATAATAACATGCATTAGGAGCATTCAGACATATGATGTACTTGTGCATACATATTAGTTCAAGATCAAATATAGTAGGCTAAATATGTGTTAAACGAAGCACGCTGTTCGTTGATGCCGATTATGTGCTATGATAAGGCTTGGTTCAAATACATGAGAGATGTATATATATATGGTCACAGAGAGACTATCAACATTGGTGTACATGTATATCCAGCTGAAGAGTCCAAAATAGGATGAAATATATGTCGTGGATTTTACAACCAACCATTATCCAACTCTACTTATCAAATTTAAATGTCCTAGTTAAATACATGGATATGATTTCTTATATATTTTGCATCGTGGTCTTATATTTCATGTTTTTTTGAGTTGATATCTATTAAGATTACATTGGTTGTCTTTTTTTCTTTCCTATTTTAATTGGAGCACAAGGGATAGAATTTCTGAAAACGTTAATAAACTTCATCAATATCAGGTTACTACTACTACTACTACTGTAATGAACGAAGACTCACGAGGGGACAACCAATTTACTACATAAAAAATGAAAACCATATATAGTCAATACTTCATTTGCAAATCTTCTATTAATGATTACATTCTGTATGATTCGTCCAATTCATAATTCCTTTCTACTTCCCTTCATGTTTTTTTCAACTAGATCCTTCTTAACCTTTCGCTGACATGCACTGCATTTCGGATAAGTGTTACACACTACTTATGTCAATCGACATAAGTAGCATACACCACACTACTTACAAATACTGATCTAGTTCATTAATAATGATTAGTTTAACCATAGCAGATCAAAATAATATCATCATCATCAACAACAACAACAATAGTAATATTCTCTCGGTAACTTACTGAATTCATAGGACATTCATTACGTAACTGATTAATACATAATAAACATTTATTAATTAAATTTGTATAGATTGGTAATGTGGTCTTCATTGAAATATGTCTACTTAGTGTATTTTGTTTTAATTCAATTGTAGATAAATTTGTAATTTGACTAATTGGATTTTTATTTAATAACCAAGCAAATAAAAATATCCATCGAATTGATTCATTTGGACGTTGAATTAAATAACGTGATATATATGCTAGACCAGAAGATTTTCTCGACTAATGAATATTATCGATGATTAATTCAAGTAAAGGAAAGAAAAAAAAATTAATTTCATAAGTATATATTTATTAGATCAATGGATTTATGAGAACTAATTAGTATTAATTCACTTGATATTGTTTTACTTGAACCTTCCCATTGATGTTTTAGGACTGAAATTGATCAGTCTGTTATTGGTATATGTGCATACTGCGCGTATGCCTCGATATTGCCTTAATTCACAAGCATTATAAGCAAAGATGGATAGTGGCTAGCAGTGGAATTCAGGACACGCGTTTCGTCCTGTTTGGGACTCGTCAGCTGGATGTACCTGCATCTCCGAGTTGATGTTCGCTTTGGGACTCGAAGCGAACGGTACTACTGAGTTCGAGTCCCAGAGTGAACATCAACTCGGAGATGCAGGTACATCCAGCTGACGAGTCCCAAACAGGACGAAACGCGTGTCCTGAATTCCACTGCTAGCCACTATCCATCTTTGCTTATAATTAGTATTAATATTGGAAACGAATATTTGATACCAAATGCAGGGGAGGGGATGGATGTAAGTGTAAGTAATTGCACATTACTTGGTTTGAGTTTAAGAAATTATTGCAACTAACCATTGAAGACACTGAATAACATAGCCTAGAGGTGTTCACTCTTTGTCTACCCTAGAAATATTGAGTTTTAAGTTTGTCTAATACTTTCATTCTGCGAATGCATTCTTTCTTCTCAAATCGTACTATCTATACTTTATCTATTCTACTACCATTGATACTGTTTACCACTACTACTGTTACTACTCTGAGATTTGTCTTGAGAATTTCATCTTGTTGTTGATATATTGTACAGTTCGGCAGCCATTGAAGATTATAAAGCAATGGATAACGATATCCTCGCAGTATGGAACTCCTCAGTAGTGTGCATATACAAACCCACAACAGATTGAACCCAGGACCTTCAAACTTTTCATTATACGTTTAACTTTCAGATCACTGAAATAGAGTCTTATGACTTGTATTTCTACCATGAAACCATTTTCCAATCCCATTGATGAAGAACAAATGTTTTCTCCTAAGAAAGAAAAAAAAGTTGAATTCCATTTTTGATTTATTGTCTACCAATTTGAGATGGAAAAGAGGAAAACCAAAGAATATATTGTGTCCGAAATTAGAAACAGACATCAAAAGGATGACTAGCATCTGGAAAGGATTGTCCAGGACAGAGTTCAATAAAGAATGCTAGTGCGCGACCTATACTCCTCTGCGAAGGGTAACAGGCGTAAGTAAGTAGTTTGTCTCTATTACATGATAATCTCAGATGGGTTTTGTGGATATTATAGTAATTTCAATGATTACGATCATGAGTCAGTTGAAGCTAGACCACCACGGAAAACCTGGAAGCACTGGAAGGCCATTTCGTCCTATTGTGGGACTCCTCAGCAGTGCGCATCCACGGCCTCGCTCAATTTCGTGGATTAGTTGAGGTTAGACATTAACACTGTTGGATGCCGGCCAGCTAAGTGGTTAAGTGATCGCGCGCAAAACCAGTAGGTCCTGGGTTCGAATCTCGCGGGGTGCGAGATCGTCGATGCGCACTGCTGAGGAGTCCCACAATAGGACGAGACAGCCGTCCAGTGCTTCCAGGTTTTCCATGATGGTCTAGTTTCAACTGACGCATGATCTTAATTATTGAAATTACATGATAATCAACAACAAATAAATAAATAAAGAAAGAAGATAACTAGAATGAATTTAACTTACAGAACATAATGATAAATATGTATTATTCATAATCCAATTATTTAATTCATTTTCAGTTAATTGTCCACCTAATGGTAAATAATTATCACTAATACGATTAGTAAATAAATCTGGTAAATTTGATAAATTTTCATATTCCATTTGTTTTTTTGATGAAATTTCATAAATTAATTTACATAATGGTGAATTCATTAACCAATCAACATCTTGACCTAAACGTACACCAATTTGACTTAAATTATAAGCTAATGGTAATGAAATATTATAATATTGATCAGTTGATGAACAAGAAGACGATAATAATGATGATGATGATTGGATAATTGGGTCTGTTTCATAATCCCGGTTAAATAAGTGTGTAATTTTTGAATTTCTTGTATCGGACCAAAATATGGACAATTGATTAATTTTATAACTAATAATAATAAGAAACCAGCATTTGGTTGAAATTGTAATGCAGATTTAGTAACTAATGATCCTTGATTAACAAGACGTTGAATTTCTTCAGTTAAACCTTTAAAAATAAATAATTAATCAAAAAGAAATAGATAAATATGGACATGTAATCAATCAACAAAGTACAAAACAATGTGATGAGATCAACAGATGGAGAGTAATCATACTAATATTAAGAATAAAATATTTTAACAGTTAAATTCACGAATTGATCTAAGATAGACTACCAGTGAAAACCTAGAAGTACTGAACGGTCGTTTTGTCCTAGTACGGGACTTGAATTCAAGACCCTCGGTCTCGCACGCGAACGCTTAATCTAGCACAGATCGACTCTTAAATTCAACCGTTAAAATACTACAATCTCAACAAATTTCCGTACTGATAATAATAAGATACAAGAGTTAAATCCACAGATGAATATAGAATAGGAACAAAGTTATTAATCAGTTGTAAATATCTAAATCCTACAGGTTATTCGCCGCTCGAATGGCTTAGTGATAACGTCTCAGAATGAGAAGTTGGGTGACGAGTCTACCAAGAAGTATCAGTTCTCTTGAGATTACAAATACAATTTGTTGACGAGTGTCAACTGGCACAAAACTTCTTGTCAGCTGTCACTAAACAACAAAAATGTAGTGTACACAATGTCGTGTCACTTAGACTAGTGACCACACACATAGCAAATTGTTCGATAAGCATTAAACGACGAATATGCTATTACTCACTACTTAATGATAAATTGATTGTGGAAAAGAAACCACTAAAATAACACGAATCGACTCTAAAACAAACGAAAATCAGTGGTAAAAATGCATTTTTTTGCTGTAACAAAAAGCCAACCCGCTAACCACACATAAACAATATCAGAATAGTAGATACAATAAGTTATCATTCAAAACGAACTACTTAATATCAGTAAAGTATGGAATATGTTTAAAAATAAAGGTTAAGACTGATTTTGACTCATGTCATATAAGATTCCTAACCACAGATTACGATATGAGACCCTGGAGTTTGATTTATGACATATGTATTTGCTTAGCTGTTTCTAGCCTATTGTTGTGTTGACCAGCAAAATGCATCGAGATAGATAGTGACTTAAAACGTGTAATATGTATCTAGATCACAGCATTTTACAAACATTCATAAATTCATTAATCCATTAACTATATCCACCTAGAACTGAACCTCTAACTTTGACATTGTTTGTCCAATGCTTCCAATATACCTTAAAGACACTTTTGGTAAATTACATGTCTTCGACTAGCAAACATCATATCTTACTGGTTTTACTCGTCTTTCGATAAGTGGATGAACATTTGGTCTGCATCATTAGTAATAAATGTTGTTACCCACCACCAACATGTTTAAAAAAAATAATTAATAACATTCAGCCAATTATTAATCCGCTAGGGTTAGTGAAAAGCTAAAGATTATTAAAGGGATTTGTGAAATATGAACTAGTTTACTCACAAAGGCCAAACTAGGAATTGGCATAGATCAGTTTCGAAATATAATTTTGGATTTAGACGGAGATAAAAAGAAAAGCATTTTTGTATAGTTACTTGAAATGTTCAGAAGATCCTAAATTTTGTTAGTCTTTACCAAGGAAGATTATATCATTTGCACACTTAAACTCAATAAGTGAATTTCCAGGTAGGATTGTAATCCTTTGAAACGTAAGATAAAAGGAGTATTACCCCAGTTTAAAAGTACATTAAAGATTTAAAAATCAAATAAAAACAGAGAAGATGGACAACACTGAATGTAACTAACTTAAATAATAGTGTGTCATAAGTATATACCTCAGCAGTAAGTGTTTGAGTAAAAGATATTCAGTAGATTGATGTAGTTTTACAACAACACATCTTTCAATCTCAGTTACTGTCAAAAGAATCCTCGATCAACAAAGTCAATCGCTACACCTTCACAATAAGAGTAATGGTTAAAATAGGAAAACGACAAACTATGTCTGTTCAAAAACCAGTCAAATAGTATAGATAAAGATTGAGTAATTACACTAAAGGACTTGAATAAAACTGAGCTAGAGGTTTCTCAGACTTATTACTTTCAAGCCACATTAAGTGTCGGATATATGAAGGAAGCTAATATCTTCAAAATTACATTAATCCACCTGATTCCTCTGTGTTGTATACCACACTTCACTAGTAAAAGAACAAACTACAAGCAACAGAAGTTTTGGATAGTTGTATATCATTATAATCATGAACCGATCTAAGTTACGAAATCACTGGAAACCTGGAAATATTGAATGGCCATTTCATCCTATTACAGAACTATTGAGCAACGCGTATACCCGACAACAAACGTGGGAAACGAACCCAGGACACTCAGTCTCGTGAGTGCTTAATCCCTGGACCAATGAACAGGCATACAACGGTGTTAATGTCTAACTTCAACCAATCCACGATATTATGGGACCATCTTCCGTCATCTCTTATGAGTAACTGCCTCACACCGTTGGATGTCAGACCAATGGTCTAGAGGTTAAACATTCGCATGCGAGACCGAAAATGTTTGGTTCGATTGACGATTGTGGGGTCATGGATTTGTACTGTTGAAGAGTCCTATACTACGACGAAATGGTTATCCAATGCTCCCAGGTTAGACCTAGATCCGTTCATGATTTTGATGAAGTCTAACAATCTACACAACCCCATACTGACACTGTGTATCAATGTAAGTTTAAAAAATGAATTCAAGTTTGAGAAACAACAAGAAAAATCATTTTAGAATATTGAAAACACACAAACAAATAATAAACAAATGTCTCACATATTAGTGATAAATTTTCTTGTGGTGGATTATCTGGATGCATTGTAAATATAATGCCTTTAGCGCATGCCTCAGCTAAACTATGACAAAATGTAGAATTTGGATTTTTAGTTAAATTAAGAAGTTGATCAGCAGTTTTCCAATCAGGTGATCCACTAAAATGAAACAAAAAGTATGTTTTATTCCAAAAAACTGAAAGATTGTGACTAGACAATAGAATCTAGAATGTGTGTTTTATTCTATCTGAAACTCAATCAGCCGAATGTACCTAAATTCCAGTGTACTGATGTTTAATATTGAAACTTGAGAACCGTGTACTTTTCGCTTGAAACGACCCACAACGTGTTATCCCTTGAAATATTGAAGTCTAAATAATCTCTAATGTGTTTAATATATGTAACGTTTCTATCACATTTGATAAAAGTTTAAATTACCTCAGTGTTGACATTCAACATTGAATTGTGATCAATATTTATTGGTAATATGTGCACAACAGTACAAACAATAATCAAAACTATATGGAGGATCCAACTAGGGGATTTGGAAAACACTGATTTCAAACCAGTGGTGTACATGGGCTCCGGGATCCTGAAGGAAAAAATGGTGTATGAATCAATTATCGGTCACCAGCTACCATGGGATTGCATCTCCGTAAGTTACTCCACTGTCTTGTGGATCAGACTTTTTGGTCGAAGGTTTCGGGTATGGCCCTCTTAGAAAACCACCTGCTTTGGTCTGGACACTCGGGTAGTGACACAGCCCACTCATAAATCAGGTGAATGTATTCGGTACCCCTTTTAACCGATATTTATGTGTTCAAATAAAATAAAAACATAGAAACGTACTTGTTGTTTTATCGACAAAAAAATGAAAGTTAGTGTAAATAAATTTCAGCTACTTAAAAGAAATAAGTAGTAAAAACATCATAAAAATGTAGTAGTCTTTCAAAAAAAATTACATACGAAAAATTAAAAGACAAACTTTTTAAAAAGACACTCATTAGATTAGAATATAAAAACTCCCTCAAGAAAGTGAAAATAAAACCCCCCAAAACTATATATATATATATATATATATATATATATATATATATATCAATACTCAAACATTTTTTTGTATTGGTAAAATAGAAGGGTTATTACACGCAATACTCAGGGAAACTACCACAATGTGAGATAAATAAATATATAAACTGACTGGTTCACTCAGAATATGTGGTTGAGATTGATGTTTTATTTCCAATTCGATTATACTTAAATGTTAAAACGTCACTATTTGCTTTCATAATGCTCAACTTTTGGATTTCTAAAAGAAGTAAACTTTGAATGTTGAAAAGAAACAAGAGCGAGATTTTATAAATTTATGAACGGACCAATAAGATTAAAGATAGCAAGTGTCTTGGATTTTGGTGTGAAATTAATTTATCCATATAGTTCAATAGCATTTTGGCATTATAGTGGATGTCAGTTCGTAATAAAGATCCTTAATTTAATCACTAATCTTAATCCTAATTCCTCATACTAATCTATAACCATCTTTTGATATTTGTAAGCAGGTGAATTTTCTCAAGATCAACTTGGACATCGCTTAAAGGTTGTTCATAAACTATAATCTCATTGAAACAAGTATCTATCTTCTATTTCCTCAATTATTTTCATAATTCAATTTATATTTGATTACATTGAATATTTCGGTCATGTTCTTATGGCATGTCAATATATCACATAAATAAATTGCCAATCAGAACACCGACATATACGGCTTTAAACCTTTGACAAACCAATAACGCATTAACCAACACGAACAATCTAGAGTCAACTCTCAGTCCTTATTAGTTCGTCTTACTTTGCTCTGCCCGTTGTGTCCAGAACACAATCTCAGCTTCCACTGTATGAACCAAGTATTTCAGACATACTCAGTTTATGTACAAATAGACCAGACCACAACATACCATGAAATGCAAAATAATGTTTGTACAAAATCGAGTCAAAAGTGGTTGTGAGTATAAAATACCATAACTAATAAATCGGGAATAACTTAAGAATATTAAATCGTATAATAATAGTCAATAGGTCAAATGAAAGCTTAAGATAAAAGGAATACGAATATATATATACAATCTAGTTACTTAATAACTATCCGATAAAAATGGTTGAATAATAATCTATAGATAATCCTCAGCAGTTACCATTCATTTATTCTTCGTTAGCATAGAAGAACTTTTTTATTTATTTTGACCTGTATTATCATTCTCGAACTTTATATCCTGAAAGATAGTAAGTAATATGAAACATTTTATTTATGCTGTATTCTAAACAAGTATTTCACATTACACCAGTTTTCTTAATAGATCAATCGGTTTTCAGTTTGTAGGAATGCTAAGACTTTATTTTCAATCATAATCAACATAGAGTCTGAGTACAAATGTACAATAGACCAAATTATCAATACACATCAGATGAATAAAAAAGGAATGTAAATAATTGTAATAGAAATGAGATACTGAAAAGGACTAGACAATGAGAATCAAGTTCAAGAAAAAGCAATGTAAAAGTATGTATGAAGAAATACTATCACTTAGCGTACATAGAGCAAAACGCAGAGTGAGTGCATCTTTATCGTTATGATCACTTTCAAACTATATCGTCCGTCTAACATCTCCGACCAATGATCATGATTATCACTCAAATCAGATAATTTACAACTAACAACATGACTCAGACTAATAGTCAACGACTATACGGACTAACGTTGTGTCTCTTCAATTCGACCACCTCTAGCTTTCTTACGACTGACTTTTACATTACACGTCAATGAATGTGGTAGTTAACGATGGATAGAAATTTCGTTATGTATACATAAGAAAGACACAAACATAGAGCAAAATACTTAGTAAATTTCGAATCAACTGATGAAAATAACAGCAACAAATATTGCACTCACCAAATATATGTAATAAGAAAATAATGAGATAATACAAGACTGAAAAATGCCAATTCATTTGGATTATCACGATATGATAACTGATTTTGTTTATTCAATAACATAACAGCTCTAAAACACAGAAGATAAAACATAAAAAAAATTTAAAAAATACATATGAAACATGGTTATCTCTAGTTTTGTCATAGAATGTGTTCAATTAAATGAAAAGAATGAAGTTGATTGGTAACAAGGTGATTTTGAAAGCATGTGTGACCGGTTATCACTTCCTAGTTGTCTATATTACTCAAGGATACTACTTCTTGAGGAGTCTAAAAAGAAAACTAGATTATTAGTGGTCTTAGCGACCTAGAGGCACTAATATGAAGCCCAAGAAACACCTGATTGACGCCTGTTGCTTGGTGATCTAAAAGTTAAGCATCCGCTTGCGATACCAAAGGTACTGGGTTCGAATGCTTGTGATTGAGTCGTGAATACGTACTACTGAGGAGGAGTCTCATACTAGAACGAAATGGCTATCCAATGCTACCAGGTTTTGATTGGTAGTCCAGCGAATATCAGTTCGTAATTTAAACTATACAGATCCTAGAACCTCCGCAAATTGTGATACGTTAAGATGTAATGTACTTTTTTATCTAAATAGTTCGTTATGTGTTTAAAGTTAATTTTAAAAAGAGTACTTCTGACCCCACATTCATCTAGCTCTCTGAGTTTTAGGAACATTGTAAAATTGATTGACCTATTCCCTAATCGCATAATAAAGACACTGATTGAGTAAGTGAATTATTTACTATAATGGGTATGAATAGGTCTAGAGGAAAGAGTATAACTATTGAAAATATTTATAGCTCAAAAGAAGGTTTTTGCATGTGTTGTATTCTCCTCTGAAATAGATGGTTTGGTCGTAAACTTTTATATTTCTCCCTAAAGCAACATTATCAGCATATACAATTTCACAAAAGAAGTGAACGAATAAAATTTCTTCACAATCGACTAATTGACTTGTTAATACGTTCATTTGATTAATTATTGTTCATAGTTGTGTGCGTGACCATTATCTACGTGTTTAGTTGGTGTTATTATTGTGGTTTACAGTTTCATGGGATTCAAACTCTTATCATTCTTTAGTACAGTATTCGATAATAATGATGATGGAAACGCAGCTGATCAACTGTAAGAGAATCAAATCTATGTATAGTAAACAAAATAATTCATTACTTATTAATTAACTTATGTTACAACATCCTTATTCAATAACAGTATAACATCGACTTCATGCTAGTGTTTGTGTGTGATTTTATTAAATAAACTTACTCTTCACTACGGATTCATTACAAATAGAATAGATCTTAGTGAGAATTTATACATAAGAATTATTATAATGCAAGAAATACATCTATCTTACTTTTGAAGACAATGTTTCGCGGGCACAGAATATCCCACTAATTGGAGTAATATACCCCGATTATGCCATAATCGTATATTATTAGGCTGGAAAGCTAAATAATAGAGTGATAATGAGAGAAATATAATTATTCTATTTAAATCCATAGTTTTAACTTTACATTTAAAAGCCCACTTCATGCCAATAACAAAAGTGGGTTATAATGAGAATCTGTGATTGGTGGGGTTTAATCGTGTGAAAAGTAGTTGGTCATCCATATCATAGTGCTCCAATATCACAACTCAATTGAATTTAAAGATACGAACCATTGTATGATGGTTTAGTGGTGGTGCTTAAAGGTTAAGTGTTCGTTCACCATGAGATTTGAAGGTCCCAGGTTCGACCCTTAGTGTCGAGGTCGTGAATGTACACTACTATTGAAAAAACCTATACTAGAACGATACATTTATTCAGTGCCTCCTTGTTTTCAACAACTGTTTAACCAAAGTCAGTACGTGATATGAAAATACAAAATTCAACAATTTTCACAAGCTCTCTATGAAATTCGAAAATTGTTTTAATCTTACAAATCTTACCCTACACTAAAAGCAAATAATACATAGTGTGATAATCACAGATACAAATAATGAATTTATTAATTCCACTATAATCGTAAACCACAAAACGAAATAAAATCAGTGATAAACTTGAAAAGTGATGTATTCTTAACCCCTTACGTAATATGTGATAATCAGACGTCAGGCTTTATTACTCAAGAGCTTAAAATATTTATTAGTCAATTATTGACTAACATATACATTCATTTTGCTTCACATCTTACAGATATAATTCGTAGGATAGTTGATGTAGATTAATTCAATTTAAAGCTAATTAATTAAGTGGTAGTGTCTCAGACTGTGAAACTGCGTAACACGGGTTCAAATCCCGTAGGGAACATCAGTACCCACCAGGATAATAAATACTACTCTCTGACAAATACCAACTACCATGAAGCTCAGGTCCAAGGTTTCCTGCTGACTACCACCTCCAATAGCCTTAACATTAAAAAAATAGTGAATACTATATCAAGTCACTTGGACTAGTGAACGCATTACAACTTCATCGATAGAATCCGACTAGCACTAAGAAAGACATGACGTTGATCACTACTACTCAGTGACAGAACAATTTTATTCATACATCTTAATGTCAGTAAATATACATTCTAATTCTTTCTTTCCCTAAACCATACTATATGTTAGGTATGATGTTGGGGGGTGGGTTGGCTTTATTTTATGTTATATATTATAGTAAATACAAGCCATACGCTTTGTACTCACAACACTAGTTTTGACTATGCCCTATTTCAAAACAATACCAAAATACATCAGAATTAATGTATGTAAAGTAAAACGCAAATGCGCAAAAATACTATACATACGTATGATGAGATTAAAAAAGGGTATATGAAAACAAAATGGTAAAACTGGCCTTAAACCTGGCAACAAAAATAAGTGTCCTGTAATCAGTGTGTTATAATGATATCTTTTAATACTCCTTATTTTTGACTTTGTAATTGTAGATTAAAGTAAAACTTCTATTCTCTGCAAATATATAGTAGTTGTTACGGTGAATCGATCAGATATATTAGTTCAGAGTCGAACTATAAGTTAGAGATAATGACAAGTGCACGGCATTGGTTAAAAATCCGACTTACTTTTCTAAGGGATACAATCTATACTAAGGGATGAGTTTATACAAACATTCATCTCGTCTATTCAATAAAATCTTCCCTACTCACTCAAATAACTAATTAGACTGACGTGTAAGAACTGTATATATATCGGTATTAGATTCGGAAAATCCGCCCAACAAAACAGTATCAAATGTAATAATTATTATTATCTGATTATATGTCGATATCATTATAGAATAAGTAGTATGATACAAGTAATAATTAAACTAACCGATAGCCCGATTTAAGCATTCTATAGCCACATTGATAGATAGGCGTAGATGTGCTCGTTTATCGAAAACTTGAATTAATTCTGACATACTTTTTGATGGACAAGATGACGCTGATGGATCACAAAGGAAATTACATCCAGCATATTCAATAATTATAGGCATCAGATGCAGTGTAAGCTGTGACGCTACTTGGTACTAAAATAAGAGGAAGTGAAAGTAAATGATGAGTAAAAACAAGAAAAACCTCTATAGTATTAAAAATGGAGTTTGATAATTAGTATTATTGAAAAAAATTATATCGAGATTGTTTTTGACATGAAGTAAACAAACAAATTGAGAATGAAGTGGAGATTCGGAAAACTGTTTTTATCGTAGTTTAATACTACTACTCAATATCGCCCACGCATGACCCAGCCAAAGAAAATCCTTAAAATTATTTTGATAATTTTTGTGTTACTATAAGATAAAATCAACTGGAGTGATAAATATACACTAGCAACTAATAGCTTTGAGAATTTTGCATAGTTTTAGAGAGTAGTTACGATCGACAAAAGATTACTCTTGTTAAAGAAAATGATATAGATAGTGAATATTGATGGCAATGAGTGATTGTAGTTGCATTAATATGCCGAAACGATTGTAGTTGGATATGTGGTGAGGAGATTCCTACTCAGTGGTATGAAGGTATTGTGCTTATTATCACCGCACGACTTTCGGATCTAACGGTTCGACTCTGTATGAGGTCATGTATGCGAATAGATTGTAGGAAAGGAAATCCTTAAACTTGAGAGAGACATCACATCTAGCCAACACTGGTTGTTTCTCTAGGTGGTGTCAGCTTATATATATATAACAAGAAGCATCGTCCTGTTGAACTTATCTCTATAATAGTAATCTATTCAAATAAGCTATAAAATATTGGAGTGTAATCTCAAAGTATCTTTCAAAACTATGTATTATTTACAGATAAAAAGCAGTTGTTCAGCACAAAAAGAATAAAAGACATATCCAACGAATCTAACATTATTTAAAACAACTATGAAAATAATCTCAGCAATGTATGAAGGTTTTGATATTATTCCAGATTCATTGAACAGAGACCATCGGTAAAGTAATTGAAAGTGACAGAGAACAAATCAGCTAATAATAGAGGAGAAAATCAGGAAATGACAATGGAGGTGGATAGGATACATTTTACGGAAACAATTAAAATGAGCTACAAAACAAGTCCTAATCTGATATAATCAAGACAAAAGGAAAGAAGGCAAATAAAGAACATATGTAAATTTTCGCAATTTCTCGCTGCTAATATTTAGGCCATAAATTAATTGGTCAGTCTCTTCTGGTATACATGCATCTTGACCAGATGCCTTAAATATATTTAAAAGAAAATAAAGAATAACTTTATACTCCGTTGGACAAAGCAGTGACTGACTTAATCAACTCAATAGCTCAATGGGTAACACACAATGGCATTTTAAGAGATAAATATTGGGTTCCAGTTTCCAAGTGAACACATCAACTGAAGAGTCTTCAAAAATGACGAAACATATGTACTAAATTCAACAATAAGTCACAATTTTGAAATATATAGAATGTTTGCAAAAATAAAACACTAAATTAAACACACATTTGAACCTGTATACGCAGCATGTATCAAATGACTCAATACTTCCGTATTGACTAATAAACCAGGACCAATCGACGGAGTACCAGACATGACAGCAGTCAATTGAGCTGAAACAAGCCAAACTCTAAAATTATCTGGATCAATCGCTTTAGCTTGTTCTACCAAATTAACTGCAAGCTTAAAATAAAGAAAAAAAACCACATGAACTGAATGAAAATAATAATTTTGACAAGTTGTACAATGTATGAATGCATACACACGTACCCACATATATTACTCTACGAAACAGGCTACTATTATTTGGTCATAGACGGTTTCATATAGACTGGAGACCATCGAGTGAGCGATGTTGAGGTTAGATGAAGAGTACAATTTAAAGATGGCAAAACAGTTGATAAAACCGATAATCTTCATCATGGTTAAAACACGTACCATGTATGCCTAACAATCACCTTCCTCCTGAACGAATGATATCGATTGCGAAGGAAGAGAACGGAAGTAAGATACGCGATAGTGGCCAAACTAAGAAATGAAAGTAGTTTACAAAGTCATTGACTATTACACCGATACATGTTGGTGATTATCGTAAACTATAGTGATGTTGGTTGATATGTCTCAAAATTCCTTACAATGACGTAAATGAACATTTACTTTTTTTTCCTTAGGTCGCAAATTGAAAAACTATTTTAGGCCTTTTTTCCTAGTATATTGCATTTGGTTGTATATGGTTGCTATTTTCTACTATTCTAGTATTTGTCTCTAGAACTTCATTTCTCTATGCTGATATAGTGAAGTAACTTGAATTGATGGATATTTTTGTGCTAGCTCTATATAGATTATGAATAACCAACTACTCATGGAAAATAAGATTAAATGTGTACATATTAATACTAGGAAGAGCGTAATAATGATAATACTATTAATTATCAAAATGAGTCAAATTCATTTACAAACCGTTTTACATTCTTTTAATTAAATGATTCCTAATGCATATAACCGATGAAAGCATGTTGTGATTGGCCCAGTGAACTAACACGAACAAGATCACTTTGTAATTTTAGTGGATGCAACTCATAAGGATATTTGTAAGTAATGTAGGGGAACGTGGTGTCGTAATTGAAAAAAAATTATCGGACGGAGTAAAGTTTTGCTGCATTGAAAGTACGGAGTTGACAGAACACTAAGAGACCAAACGAGAAGACATTTCAGATGGTAGAACACATGGAGATGCAAATGGACGATTGAAGGCTATGCATGTGTATTATGTAAATACTCTGTAACATCTCGCGATAATGGGTAGACAAATTATTCGTATATATACATTTGTGTTCCTGACACAAATGAGATGTAAGGTGAAATATTGAGTAGGGGCATGATCAGCTTCATCTGATAGCATCACACCTAGTGCTTGATCTTCAGGCAGTAATATAATCACAGAGACGCGGTATACCTAGAGACTCTCTTAACCTATCAGATGGTCGACGAATCCAGTTTTCGACCAGTTATTGGCCGTAGGATCGAATCCTTCCCCACTTAATTCAGTTTGAATAGCTAAAAAGTATTATTATTCATCATATACAAATAAAAAGTACACGTCGAAACCAAGTACCACAAAGCTGTACTCAATAAATATACGATATTATATTAGCCGAATCAATGACTTATTCACCAGGGGTGGTACAGATTCGAGTACTTGAATTTGAGTTGCACTTTAGGTGTGAGGGTCTGATAATACTAATCCGGTTTTCCAGACCGAAATAGCAGAAGCAGAGGATTTAAAAAAAACGAGTTAGTGGCTAAAAGTTGAACCTCTGAATAAATGTTTACATAGTAGACAAAATATATTTGACATTCAACACAAACCGGAAGAAAACGGACAGAAGGAATTTCAAAAATCACAATTCCATATTTGGGAAAAGTGAATGTGAGTATAAAATAGATTCAAATTTACAGAAAAAGAAAATTACTTCAGTTTGACCCTGTTTCATTTGTTGCATTGCCAAATTAACCATGACGGTGGTATTCTATAAGGAGATAAAAGTATAAATACATACATAAATCATAATATTACTGAACGAAGAATTTGTTGATCAGTAATTTATTCTCAATATTGTTGTACGAATTAAAATAGATATATAAATTGTTTGTGCTAGAGCTGTTTATTTTTTATTCAGACCTTATTCTTATCAATCGTATAAGTCAAAATGAACTCAATAGGAGAGAATGATTGGATGAATAATAACGTAGAGTTCAGAATTAGTAAGACAGAGGTTGTTACGAGCATAGAATAACATTGCATTTTAAGTATAACAATCAAGATTACACTTGATAATTTCAAATAAATTGACCAATGAGCAGATTATTTACAGTTTATTATCTACTCAAGAAATATAGGGTTTTGTTGAGATCCTAAAATTTTCGCTTTTTTAATCACGAATTGATCTCAGCTAGACCATGATTGAGAAAATGGTAGCACTAGGCGACCATCTCGCTCTAGTATGGAACTCCTCAGTAGTGCAAATACATGACCCCGACATATGGAATTGAATCCAGGAGCTTCAGGGTCGCAAGTGAACGCTTAACATATAGACCACTAAGATGACATTTGACGGTATTGATGTCAAACTTCAATCAATTCACGATATTGTAAGAGTGCGAGATAGTTATTCGCCACAGGTAATGAAAGATCGTCACCTAATACCAGGTTCATGAATGTGCACTAATGAGGAGGAGTCCCATACTAACACGAAACGGTCTTCAAGTACTTTCCGGTTCTCAATGATGTTCCAGTTAAGATCAGTTCATGAATTGAAGAAAATATAGTATTAGTAGTAGTATTATTATAACAGGACGAAGAATTATTTCTGGAATTATTAATTTGTATACCTAATACCGACTAAACGCCGATAACAATACGTTTTCTCAATTAGTCTTGAACCTCAGGTTTGACGACTTTGAACATCGTCAAAAAGATAGAACGATTGATACTTCATTAATAAACCTTTTTTCTACAAATGAAAACTCAGAGGTCGGTCGAATGAAGATCTTAAAAAGAAAGAAAGGAATATATGAAATTTAACCTGAAGTGGGAATATTATAAATACTGGGATGTTGAAAACATGACAATAATTGTGCGCTAATATACTGACTGGCATGAACTTGTATCCTCAACGTTTGAGCTACACTTTACCTGTAAGGACTGGTAATAATAATTTATGATGGGAACTTTACTTTAAATCATATAATTTCTACACAACTTCCCCATCTTGATTTCCCTATAATACTCATGGTAACCATAAAAAGAGCATATTAAAAGCATACTATGGATTGAAACATACATCAGGATTATAAAGTAATGCTTGACAAAGACAATAGGTGATTTCTGAATCCAAGTTTTCTAGAATTGTAAAACAATAAAGAAGAAAATAATAGTATTAAGATACAATTGCAATCATACTCAATAATAATAAACCTTCACAAGAACGACTAACGTATTGGGTTTTCCGGTAAGTATACGCTAAGTTCTGATATAACACAATCAATAAGAACTCGAACAAACTCAATATCTGTCACATAACAATACTTGAACTTCAATATAGCGATAAAGAAGACAGGATTTTCAAAGTAGCTTTATATTCCATACAGAAGTGAAAAAAACATCTAATGATCTCAGGGCAAATCAATTATCTAACAACCTAAAACCGATAACAACTAATCAGGTAACTGTTATTCAAGTGAATAGCTATCTGGATTATGCCATGGTGCTTGAAGTGAACAGTACTGGGTTTGAGTCCCGAAGTGAACATCAACTTTAAGACGCAGGTACATCCATCTAACGAGTCATGAATGGGAGAAAACGCACATCCTGTAGATCTCACTGTTAGCCAGATTCCACCTATTCAGTTTGAAATAATAGTTTGGTTATATTGATTTGACTGGCAGAATAAATTATACATGTAACAGACTAACATCTCCAATCTCATCGTAACAGGATTATTGAAGTAACAATATAATCCAATAAAAAAATATCAACCTAAACAGAAACAATTTTCCTTTTTGAATAGTAGTATATAGAGTTAACTTGGGGTAATTCAAACAGCTTCAGAAAGAAAATAGTACAATTATTATTCAAAGAAAATTTACCATCACTTGTTGAATAAACACCAGCTAATGCAGCCCATGCACGTGATTGAAGTTTTTTAATTAAAGCAATACGATCACGTATATCTTGTTCCTCAATTTCATCATCAGTTGTTATTGTACCTGGTTCAAGTAAACTTTTCTCTTTTATTATTTCTTCTAATAATTCATCATAGATATTCGATAAATTCTCTAATAATTGTAATGCATTTTTTAAAGTTGATTCAGATAAATAAAATAATTCATTTGGTATTATAATGAAATTGAATGGTTTAATAATATGATCCAATTGATTTGTTGTCATTAATGATTCCTGTGAAATATTATTACGTTGTATATAATAACCTTGATTAAGTTGATTAATACCTAAACTAACTAATATAGAACTTATTAATAATAACTTCAATGGATCCGTTGTATTAGTTGCCGTAGTAGTAGTAGTAGTATTGGTACTCGATTCAGTATCCTTATTGGTAGAGAGTACATTTGGATCTAATGAATGTGATGGATATCGAACTGAACTGATAGATGTACGAAGAGCACAAGCTAAATAACTGAAATAATAATAATACAAAATAGTAAAAGAAAATTTTAAGGGTTTGAGAAGACTTAAAATTCAAGATTTATATCACCGACAGATTTTAGTTGAACAATCATTAAAAACCAGGAATTACTTGATATTTTTCCTGTTCTATTACGCGGCTCCTTAATGGTACTTGCCCATAACCCTATCAAAAGTCAAACTCAACACTGTAAGCGCTCACAGCGAACAGTGGACCCTAAGACTATTAAGCTGGTATATAACGGTCAAACATTTCTAACTTTAATTAATTCTCAACATGGTGTAACCAATATCCAATGTCACTAGTGGGTCTAACATTCGATATGGATGAACTCCAGTGATCATGGTTTTTCACTAGAATTCCGGGATTAACTTATAAAAATTAGTAAGACACGTAAACCATTGGATCCTAACTCAATGGTTCAAAGGTTAAACGTAGGTCACGGGGACTGAGTTCAATCACTAGTGGAGATGTGGATGTGCACTAGTGAAGAGTCTCGCACTAGGGGGAAAAACTGTAGAGTATTTCCTGGTTTTCAGTAATTTTCTAAAACCAGCCAGTGATTTGCCTTATAGAGATAATTAGTAGTAGAGAAAAATATCAAAAATGTTAATTTGGCGATAAAATTGATTTCTTTAGCTGAGCATTTCAGCCTAACAGTGATCAAGTTGATTAAGATTAGGAGAGAAGTGAATTATCTAAAAGAAAAACTCCCAATCTTGGTTTGACGAAAAAATACCATAACACTAGGTGTAATTTAGTTGGGAAAGTCAGAAAACTTCACATTGAAACATGCAATTCGCCACACACTATTAACAGTTTTAGGAAAGTCACTGTCACAAAAGATGTATATTAGGCATTATAAATAGTGTAAACTCAGCAATCAAATGCATGCTTATGTATTCGGTTTTAAGTCAAACATTTTGTGTGTGTGGGAAAGAGAGTTATTAATAATCACCTATGGTAATCTGAACGGAAGAAATGAAGAGTGAATTGTACCGATAACCTAATATTTAAAGGTCAAGCGCTTGAAACACCACGACCTACGCTTTATATGGATAGTTGAAGCCCATGCAGATATCTATTCAAGTAATTAGAAAAATATATTTACTACCCGACATCTAAACTCTAGTGAATAGTAATTTGACTTAGCAATTATAATAGTTAATAAGTTCCCAACTCAACTATTGACATGTCAAAAAATAAATGAAAATTATTTACTCCTTACTACTCACAATAATAATAGTAGTAATAATAATTAGAAAGAAAACATTCAAACATACATCCCACCAAGGTGAAGGCATGTGACGATATTGACTTTAATCGTTTCCGTAGGCTCTTTCGATTCAGTTAGACACTGAGCACCATTCATTAAAGAAACTAAACGTGTCGGAACATCGATTCTATACATCAAAATAATAACAGAAAATCAAAATATGAGTGAAAGAACAATTATAAATAAAGTAAGAAACAGTAATGACATAAAATAAAGAGCTAAGTGGATTAACGAATGTATTCGGCTTAAGTCCCTGTGTGAACATCAACAATGGGATATGGCAAGTACATTCAGCTGACGAGGACCAAATATAATGAAACTGATATCCTGTAGGTTACAATGCTGGCTATATTCTATCTATTCTCTAAAAAATTTGTGACATAATGGCTACATAGAGGTGATCGAGATCCACACAGAATGTATATATGCAAACTAAGACTGATCGAAATTTAGTCAAGAATATCAGCAAGGAGATAATTCAAACCACTACAAGTTAATTTAGAAACTAAGCATAGTTTGTTTAAAAGAGCAATATAGTGATATTTTCATTTATGTTCATATAGCAGCAGACAACCATGGACGTACGTTCAATTGGAAAAATGTTAAAATCATGGACAGAATCTTCACAAAAAACCAAAGAATTTCCAGTAGTACAGTGCTAAGATTAGCCGATGACTAAATAAACATAATCTATCAACTAACTACAATAATCAAATCGAAGAAGACAACATTAAAAATAAATGTGTAGACAATGAAATGACAAGTATCAACAATAATTAACCGCATTCAAGGTTGACAGAATAAACTGCTCGTTATATGTCGGGAAATCCTTTCATATCACCTTCTCTATCTGAAGTTTGTCTTGGCGATATTGTCATTTAGAAAGACTAATCGAACTAAACATCTCAGAGAAAGCAATCTTAACAAAATATCATCACAATCAATGAAACTGAACTTCTGAGCATAAGAACTACATTTTTATCATCGTATAAAAACCCAATACTGTCGATCTACAACAATCAGCTCACATAAAGAACAAGTTTTTTTCCTGGTCTTGTACTACAACTTGAATGCACAACATGCGTTTCATCCCATTTGGAAGATACTGGTCAGTTGGATGTATCTGTATTTTAGCGTTGATAATATTCTCACACTGGTATACGGATAATATAAGTATTATTTGAACAAAACATCAACGCATTATCACCCATTAGACTGTTTAGTCACGTTAGTTACCAACGTGTTTTTTATTATTTTAACACATAGATATTGGTACAAGGAGGCACCAAAATACATATGCGCCACACAAATCTCATTCGATATGTGTGAGGACTGGGATACTGCTCGGGTGCCCAGACCGAAGTAGGTGATTTTCTTAGGGGGCGACTCCCCGAGCCTTCGACCTGAAGGTCAGATCCACAAGGCAGTGGAGCATCGTAAGGAGATGCAGTCCCATGGAAGTCGGTGACTAACAATTGGTTCATACGCCGTTTGTTCCTTCAGGATCCTGGAGCCTATGTGCACCATTGGTTTAGAATCCGTTCAAAGCGCTGGACATTCGCTTTTCGACCTCCCATTTTCGTAAACAACACCCCCGCCACGAGAAGGCAATGAGTAGGACTTCCCTGGCAGAGGCTATATACGCGTGGCCATGTGAGAGCATTTCGAGAGGGAGAGCGGACTCTCCCCACTCTCGACCGTACTAGGGCATATATATTTTTTTCATTCTACTACTTGTAAAGATTTTAATTTGCTCTTTTTTGATATTCCAGGTCAAAATAAATCTTCTATACACAATTCGTCAAGACAACTTTTAGTGATATCAAACTAATTTAATTTAAACCGATAAATATCATAAACACAATGCTATCATTTTAAGAAAATATTGAAGATTGAATGTGAGATACTATTCATGAAATCAGAACATTTCTGAAATATTATTGCTGATTAAGATTCTGAAATACTGACGATGCATATAAAAACTAGAGTGATTAGTTTAACCGCTTAGAAGTGAAGTAGCTCAGTGAACTGATAAATTCATTCCAATTGGAAATCACATCAACCCTGATAGGTTGGTGTTTGATGAAATTTCAGCTAATATATTTAGAAGTTTGGCTTGGTTTATGCCAACTGACAGTACTTGTAGCGTAAGCAAGATATCCATCTGATATTAAAGGGGTGAGTATATTGTGTAATAGCTTTGTTCGGTTTTGCTTTATGACTGTGGAACGTAGTTTATAAAAATAGAAGACACTCTTATGTCGCAGTTTTTTGGTTATAGGTTTCTTCGATTAACTGCTCTTCTAGCTTCGGACTATTAAATGAGATACAGAGTACTAGGAGAAGATAAGAAACCAATTGTTGATGAAACTATGAGTTTTTATCGACTGAAGTGTTTGGATATGTACTGTGTATGTCCAATAATCGCTTACCTATCTAGACGTGTGATGTTATCAGCTGTAAAAGTAGGTTTGAAGAAGGCTGAGAAAGTCAATCCGAAATATGACATCAGCCTATGAGGTCAATGTTCGTTGGTCTGAGGAATGTTAGTAAATGCAAATTTTTGAGCTAACATATTTTACAATCAAGCACAATGGCCCAGATTCATCCACTCTTTTACCTGCCCTTAGATCTTGAGTTAAAAAATTATTTAATACATTTTAATTCGTAAATTAATTCTTTCATCTGTAATAGTATTTTCTTTGGATAACATTAATTTCACTATCACTAAAACAACTAATACTAATCTTAATAGTTCTATCTAGTCTTGCTGATGTGGTACCAACAATGCAGATGGACGTATATATGTTTAAGATTTCATGTTGTTTACGACTGATTATAATAATGTAAAATCAATTAAGAAAGATATATTATTCATCACAGTACAACATTTTGAAATAAGGAGACTAAAATAGAATGATAAATTTATGAATATAGCAATAACAAGTGACCAACCATTCCCTAAATATCTATTTATTAAACTTCAAGAATCTGTACAGCATATATTCAGTATTACGCGGATCACTAATTTGAACGATAACAACGAAAAAAGAACACATTTACAATAACGAACGAGGAAAAAAAAACAAAAAAGAAATTGAAAACTTACAATAGTTCAGGATCATCAATCATAGACAATAGGCTAAGAATATCACCTGTATATCGGAAAAACCAGAATGGTACAACTTTAGAACCGACAAAATAATTCAATAACCTGAAAAGGTAACCAGTAGAAACAAATTATCATACAGTTTTTTTCTGTTTTATTATTGTGCATGGATATCTTTAAATGTCAGAAAACAATGCATATTTAGATTAATATCGTGAATGGATCGATGTTAGACCACTATTAAAAACCTATAAGCACTGGATGACCGTTTCATCCTAGTATGGGACTCAGCAGTGCGCATCTACGATCTCGCATGCGAGACTCGAACCCAGGACCTTTGGTCTCGCGCGCCTACGGTGTTTCGGAACATGTGTTGTGCGTACCTCTAAATTACTAGTTGTTTCTTAGTGTCATAGTAGCAAATGAGTGGAATGACTATTTGAATAATTATCCACTGCTTTTATCAATATTTTCTCGCTTAAGAAGAGAACACAACTCTCATAAACGGACGAGAATAAATGAATGGTAACCGTTAGGAATTACATATGGACTAATATTATACGTATACTCTTATTGTATAACTATTAAGTAACTATATTATATGTATATTTTTATTCCTTTCATTATAAGCTTTAATTTGATTTATTGACTATCATCATACGATTTACTATTCTTGAGATATTCTCAATTTATTGGTCACAGTTTCTCATGATCACAGCCACTTTCTTTTGGTTTGATCTCGTACAAATGTTATTTTCTATTTTATGGTTTGATGTGATCTGATTTGCTTGTATATAAACCTAGTATGCTTGAAATATATGATTTAAATCGTGGAGGTTGAAATTAGCATTCTGGACTTAACAGGCAGGGGCTAGGCAGAAAAAGGATTAATTGGAACTCTAGGTTGCCCGTACTGGTATATACGTCATTATTTTGATCGTATAATTCAGAGCATCTAAATTGGCAATCGTATTTGGTGATAATGTATAAGCTAAGGACATAACAACAACCATATCATTACTGATCATAATTAATTTTTCTTTTTAAAAAAAAACATACTTATTTAACAAGGTTAAAGTATGCTGTAAATCGTTCAACGCTTGACCAGTAAATCCTTGATACATGCCAGACTGACATTTGAACATATGAATTTCAACTAATTCTGTATTTTAATTTCAAAAAAAGAGAAGAAAAAAACACAGTAGAAAAGTTAGCATTGAAAAATACGAAACATTAATACTTTGTTGAAATTTATTAAATGTATTCAACCACATAATTGAGATATGTGATAAAACAATGATTTAACTGAAGAATGAAAATAAATGTCAACTTGTTTTCAAACGATAATTCACGGGGTATCTACGACGAGTAACGCGTCTGTGATGTATGAAAAGGAAAAGACTTCTCTTTGTAATAAATTACATAGGTATTATTATTAATATTATTATTATTATTAATGGCTTTATTCAATATTATAGTTTTGGTACAATATAGAATTCTCAGCACAACATACAATAATGTAAATAACAGTTGGTAGATTTGTTTCAAACAAGTATAAAATGTATGTTCATGATAGATTGACATCTTTTTTGTAGATTACGTCCATCGACCTCATGAAAACTAAATATGTCATTTAGTTTAGAAATACGTGGTGTTTGGGATTTAATGCCAAAAAGATAACATACAACTGCTATATTACAAATAGAATAAATGTAAGCACATCTTTTTTGATCGATGACTGTTTGTGTTGAAAATTCTTAGAATATGCCAAAGAAAAATTAATAACGGTTCAGAAAACGCTTAGAAATACTTGATTCGACCAGGTATGACCACAAGCCTCCTCAATACATTTAGAAGGATAATAGAACATGTGTCCTGTTTTAATTGGATAATTGCTTTACTGGTGCTATATTTAGCATGCTTCTGGAACTTTCTAGACGATTAAGGTCATGTTAAATAGCACAAATGGGCAAGATTTCCTGCATATACCCTGACCTTTAAGTAAAGCTATTTTTGGCACTTTGCGCCTCTTCTCTTAAATTTAATTTGCAGATTTAGTCTGAGGTTATTGAAAGCGGCTAGGAAATTGGACTGAGTGTTCAATTAGCAGACTTATCGAATCGCAAGACAACAAACATGTGACATTGATAGTCAGTAACACATGAAGTTCAATATCCGAGAGTAACTTTGAAAAAAATAAATGTATTGCCCAAAAATCACTTTCATTTCATGACTCGCAGACAGCAATTACCATACCTAAAAATCTTATGCACATAATTTAATTTGTCGGCCGTGGAGAGTGTCAACTCTCCCCCCCAAATGCCCTCACATCGCCACGGGTATATAGACACTCTCACAGAAGTTCTACTCACTGCCTCCTCATCGAGCATGTTGCTAACGAAATTCAAAGGACGAAAAGCGAATGTCTGACGCTTTAGCCGGGTTGGTGTGTATGGAGGATCCATCTAGAGAAGTGGGAAAACCCTCATTCCAAATCATTGAACATGAACACCAGGATCCTGAGGGAACAAATGGTATATTAATCTATTGTTAGTCACCGGCTACCATGGGACCCTATCTCCTTACGTTGCTCCACTGCCCTGTGGATTGGACCTCTGGGTCAAAGGCTCAGGAAGTAGCTCCTTAAGAAAATCACCTACTCCGATTTGCACACAACCCTCATACCAATCAATGATAACTACTACTGACCTCAGTGTTATTGTGTGGTGCATATATATTTGGTGCCCCCTTGTACTAATGTTTAAATGTCCAAGTAAATAAAAATAAGTAAATTTAATTTTAATGAAATTGTACAACTAAATATTTTTGGCAGATTCTACACATTAAACACTAAGAGAGTAAACGGATATACTAACCTTTCATAATCAAGACATAGAATTTTCTGTATAATCGATCAATCATGTAATTATTTTCAATCATCTTTAGTGCATTATTAAAACAACAAAGTGAGGAGTAAATATCATTCATATGACGATAAGCTCTTCCACATCTAAATTTTTTATAGGAGAATATTGATAATTTACTTGTTATAAGAATTGAATACATGACCAAATAATAATAAGAAGAAGAACAAATTATTATTGTTAAGAAAGAGTAACTTCAGATTAATTAGGAATGTTGACAGTTAAATCTTATGTTAGGCGATTGAAATAATCGGTAGGAATTGCTAGACCAAGATTTTATACTAACTGGTACTCATGTACTTGTATTGTCCAAAAAGTAAATATGCCATGATACAATCTAGAAGTTTGTCACAAGACTACCCAGCACTTAAAGGATTAGATACATATGATACTGATAACTACTCAGTGAACGAGGTTAGGCAACTCACTTTATATATGTTAACGTTGACTTGAATAAAATGAAGATTTAAATGTTAGCAGGTAAGTCAAATCAATAACCCTAGTTTATGTGTTTAAAAGAAATTCGTGACAATCTTGTCCGTTCCTTGGTTGGATATGAATTAACAATTTTTGTTTAAAGATTCTCACCTTATTAAAACAAAGATATGTGGCTCAGTAAAAGCGTGTCACGAAGACGGTTTTATCTTAACTAATCTGATTCAGACGAACCAAACACGAATAACATATTATGACCAGTAATTTTTAACGATAATCCACCAAGTTAGACGTCATTTGTCAAACGTACTTGAACTACGATGTTTTGTTGTTGAAAAAAACCGAACGTTTTATCCACAAAAGGAACCAATCCAGATCTATTTTATACCTTGACCGATCTAACTACATAATAGTAATACATCGACAAGATGATTAACCTCATCTATTTCCCTCTACGTTTTATTCTCATAAATCTGAACACTTACCTAGCGCTCCATATAATTTCATTCTATTACGTGACCACTGACCGGTCAGCAATTGATTTGACTACTAAATATATTACTATTACACTATCCATCCTACATGATCTATATTTATTCCTATTATTATTATTATCATTATTATTATTATTATTATTATTATTATTATTATCACAATTTCATTTGATTAATTAACATAATTCCAGTATACACTGCACGCCAATGACTTAAACGTTTACAACACGTATTAAAATTCATAAAGTCGATCATTAAAAATTCATTAGCCTTCAAGTCGATTTAAACGTGGCACTCGTAAAAGATCAACCTCAATCAGAGTATCATTGAAAACTAGAGAGCGTTGAATAGAAAGTACAAACTCAGGACGGACTATGGACACGAACAGTTGATGAGTTCCACATTAAAACGAAACAGCTATCCAGTATTTCTCGTATAATATCCGAACTGAGGTAAATCTATGACAAAGGTCAAATTCAAAGTAAACTAATCTCCACAAATAAATCCTAATCTAACGTCTTCATGTTTTTACTTGTGTCGTCCGATTCACAGATTTCCAGTTGAAGTACCATGATATAATTGCAGTCACAATAGTTTTGGAGGGTCATTTGCATCAGTCAACCATGTTCTTAATTCTAGTCATGGTCATTGGAGTGATTACCGATTTCAAATATTCAGCAGTAGAATAGTAGGGATAAAACAATAAGGGTATATTAGTATTCGAAAATGCGTGCTTTATAACATTATTGGACTAGCTGTTTGTGATAATATGTATCCAAAGTACCATAGAATCCACTTAAGATTTCTGATTCATTGACAGAGTACTTCCAAAACGTAATATTTCAAAAACAGATTATCAAATTTGTCTGGAAATACAGTTGTATCACGAATAGCAACACAAGCAATTAAAACTAAAAAAATATGGAATTTTGTGTATGGGAATGGGGTATCCGGATTTTCAAGCAAATTCCATTTTTAATCTTAGGGTCGGAATCGACTAGCAGTTCTTCTATAAAGCGGTTAGTGAAAACAAGTCAATATCATGTAGATTTTATGGATTTACATATCTACAATGTTCTAAACGAAGTTGAAAATTCAAAGAAATTGAGTTTGTGCTTAAAGTAAAAATTCAGATACTGCCACTGACCTATTCCTACAACATTAGAGTATTATTGAACAATGAAACATGATACACAAAACTTTAAGTCAAGGTAAAAAAAATTACGCTTACAGAACTAGTGTAAATGGTCGATTCGGTTCTAGCTGAAATTGTCGATCATGGAAAGGAAAAAAGCAGAGACAAACAAAAAAGAATGAAGTGATTCTATAAATTATTACTATTATTATTCAACTGTTGGTTTATTAGACGAAATTGAATCCACGTAATATAATTTATCCAGAGAACAAGATCATTTTGTGCACCCAGTTACGTATATTGACAAAATAGTTTTATGCAAAATTATGCGTCAGTAATCTTTGTCTCGTAGAAGTAAGGTAATGGTTTGTCACTGAGCATGAACAGACGGACACTTATCTTACTGACTATTTAATTAATTTCCATCCTACTCTAGACGTACTGAGTGTAGACTGCTCGTAATAGTTTTGAATAAGGTATTATCTAATTTATACTCTGATTCTCTACTTTGACTGTGAATCATGTACCTGGTCTAACGTGATACAATCTGTATATACCCTAACGATCGAGTATCTAGTTTAGTGGTAATATAATCTCGGTCACTAATCGTATTACCGTATAATAATAGTAAATCATGGCAAGACGGGAAATATTTTCATTCAAAGTATTTTTAATGACAATAATGAACGTCAATACAGTTTGAACAGTTTGGTGGTTATAACTAAGCAGGTAAATGAATGGAAATTTGTTACCATTTTAAACAATCGATACTTATCGTCAGTATGGAGTTGTAGAGAATATTAAATTTCATTGAAATCACAAACCTATCTAGGTTAGACGACTATTTAAAACCTGGAAGCAGTCGACAGCCGTTTCGTTCTAGTATGAAATTGATTGCTCAGAAGTGAACAACCACAACCCTAACAATGCTCTGGAAGTTAAACTTTTGAGTGCAAAACGGAAGGCCCTGGGGTCTATTACCGGTTGCGGGTTAACGGATGTGCACTGAAGCGAAGTTCCATACTAGGATGAGGAAAACGTTTAGTGATTCCGGGTTTTAAATGGTTTTCGAACTTGTATCATTTCGTGATTTCAATAAAAATCGGTACTTAGTTCGGATCTCAGTATAAATACATCAACAGTAGGTTGCGGAGAATTTTAATTATATCAACTCATTTACTAGGGTATAGATTTGTGTACTTAGCATCAGATCCACACTATGCATTGAGGTCTGTTGATACTATCCGGTTGACCAAACCGAATTAGATGGGGCGAGGTTAGTGGCTAGAAATCGAATCCGTTAACCACGCAGCTACTGCTTCATTCAGCTAACGAGTCCCGAATAGGGAGAGACGCAGACAGGAAATTTCATTAGTAACTAACATCCAATAAAAACTGTTGTACTTAGTCGTTTAAACTGAAATAACACAGAGCATTCGGTATTAAAACTAAATAACTGCAAATTCAATTATGTTGTCGGTGTGCTTCGATGAATGAATCAATCAAAAGCAGGTTAAATAAATTCGCTATATATTTCGATTTAGCCAGTAATGTATGTAGTATGTTTTTATAATCATGATAAGTTAACAAATTCTCTCCATTTTTTCATATAACTATTGACTAATTTACGCAAAAGTGTGTAATTCAAAGAATAAGTTTAATATCGAATTATGTGTGTATATACAGTAAACAAATGGACTTATATATCGATATGAAATGATTATTTGATCCGTTATCTGGGCACCATGCAATCTATTTATCTATTTATCTATTTTAACACATAAAAATCGGTACAATGAGGCACAAAATACATATGCGCCACACAAATCTCATTCGATGTGTGAGGGCTGTGATACTGCCCGGGTGCCCAAACCGAAGCACCATGCAATGCTTATTAACTATCTGATTTAATATCATTATGAAAATTTGTGGAGATTGTAATATTTCGACAGTTGAATTTAAGAGTCAAGCTAAGCTGGACCACCATTGATTTAAATTCTACGAGAAGAAACAGACGTGGATATGCAAGTTAAAAAAAGCTTTCAGAGAATGTAATATATTTCTCATTTTGGACATCAACTGAAACAAACATCAAATCTCTGAATTCAAATCCTATAACCTTTGAACATTCCTTTTATTCAGTAGAGAACAAAGATGTGATCTAGATGTTAAGGAACGAATTAACAAAACGAGATTAGCATTCTTACAAGTGAAAGACATCTGGAACTCAAAATTACTGCCAACCAACACCAAAGTCGACATTTTCGATACAGTCCCATTATATGTAGCTGAAGCTTAGAGAACTATCACAAACGTCATCACCGAAAATTGCAGATATTTATAAACAGCTGTCAACGAATATATTAAAGAGCCAGATATCACCAGCAATAACCCACTATGACAGAGAACAAGGCAGCTCCAAGTTGGGGAGGAAATAAGGAAAAAACATTGGAGGTGGACAGGATATAACTTTACTGGAATCATTAGACTGCATTACAAGTTCCAACTTGGAAATCTTTAAAGCAGGAAGGAAAGCAGATCAAAGAACACATGCGCGTAGAGTTGGATACAGGCATCAAGACTATGAACATCAGTTGACAAAAAAGTTGGTTGGGGATCCCTCGTTGGTGACCTATTTACAATGACGGATAGTGACAGGCTTAAATCAAGTTTTACTCGATTAGTCTTTCTATAGTACTGTCCATACATTTTTAATTAATTCCCCTTGTTGCTACTAAGTGAGAAAAACAATATGTTGCTTTTCAATGCAAAAAAATCAGGCAGAAAGCTCATTTGCACGATTAAACAAAGAAAAAAACATACGTCTAAAGCACGATTGAAAGCTTTTACCGCTGTTTCATAACTTCTACGAAATAAGTAAGCTTCACCAAGAATTTCCCAATATAATCTAAAAAAAGTTTATATAGAGATATATTTAACTGTCATTTATAAATTCCATGAAATTTCACAGGCGAAATCATCACAAGTAGAATGAATACAATCACTAGTAACTGTTAAAAGTTCTATATCGAAACTATGAACTAGAGAAGTGTTAGACATACTAGCGAAAAATCCCTTCTACGTAATAAGACAGAGAAAGAAAAGGATTTCATACTCTCTCAAAAAATATATATATAAGCAATTTAGTGGAATAAACGAATTTTTATTAGGACAACAAATTACGCACAGCTTAGAACAAATGGTACATAGAGTGGATGGAGATTTACAGAATTTTAATAATTGAGTTCATGAGTCGATCTAAGCTAAACCACCATTAAAAACCTGGAAGTACTGAACGACCGTTTCGTCCCAGTATGGGACTCTTCACCATTGTGCATCCACGACTCCACATGCGGGACTTAAACAGAATTCACCAAATTTAAATACTAACTTTAACAACAGTTAACATACAATAATAAGACACCATTGCTATGAACTGGTGGTAGAAGCAACACGATTTCCAGTCACATTTAGAATCACAAAATATTCTCAAATAATAAAGTAATTTTAATATAAGCGGCTGAAGCTAAAACATCCTGAAGGAACAGATTTTGCGTTCGATCTTCGGTGGGCTAGTTGATGTGCACTACTGATGAGTTCCCATACTAGGACCATATAGTTATCCACTGATTCCACATATTAATGTTTGGTTAACTAACGTCAGTTCGTGATGTGAACTATAAACTATTGCTGGAAAGTTGAAAGGGTACTTTTACAGAACACTTTTTCCTAAAACCCCAAACCAAGACTTCATATCTGTTTCCACATGGTACAAACACATATACACATAAATACCAAGCTCCAATCAACCTAAACATTGACGAATAATAGATTTAACGGTTGCTATTAAGTCTACTAATTTGATTGGTATTTGATCTACTATTTTCCTTGACTAATTGATAGATATCAGTAAGTTGAAAGATACATGTAAATATATGGAGTTTATTATTATTATTACTATTACTACTACATCTATTATTTTTATTAATATTATTAACGAAATATGTACAACACTTACGCGTCATTTTTAGCTAAAACAACACGTTGTAATGCAGGTAAACAGTCGTTTATTCGACCCAAACGTAAATTAATTAAGCCATAATTAAGCCACATATCTTTTGTGAAATCACTAAACAAACAGATAAATGAAATAATAACAATAATAGATGATATATAGAATAAATTAAATATGGTTAAAACAATGGAATACAGGACGTACGTTTCATCCTATATGACACTTATCAACTGGACTAAATTTTAACAACGGAATAATTCAAGCTATCCAAAAAAAGAAATTAAATTCACAGATAACACACTAAGAAATAGAATTTTTATGAAGGTTATGTTAAGCAGATAAGGCAAGTCTACACAAAGTGCAACTATAACAGAGTTTTATACTAGATAAAGAAATATTACCTATATCATAATTCGTCAATTAGTCAGCCATAATCAATGTACAGCCTATGTAAAAATGTACGATAGGTCTAAGTTGTTACACCACAACATTAGCACAATGAGATGAAATCAAAAGAATAAATGCCAAAGGAATCGAAATAACGTAGTACTAATGTTAATGCGAAAGACTGAATATTGAGAACATAGTTCTAAAAGATAAAGGTAAGATATATGTGAAGTGATACCGAGACTGAAGGAATACGTTAAAATAAAGTGTATGAATGTACCTGGGCTGTTATGACTGATTTTGACCCAAGTCACGTAGGACCTTCAGCCACCCAGATTGCAGTTACCACTCAAACCCCAACCAGATATTCGGTTCAGATAGACAGTCTATGAAATCTTGGATTCATTCCATGTCATGTTTCGACCGTCATCAGCTTTCTTCCAACCTATCATTCCTCAGTATCCTCTATGCCTAACCTTAACATAGCTAAATCTATCGTTTCACCATTTGTAAGAAATATTTTTTTAGAAATCTATGATCAAAAACCTTCAGTATACGGATAATTTGGTGTTCGTTTATGTTGTGTTAGGCAGTTGACCAATTTTTCTACTGATACACATAGTTCCTATAGGCAAGCCTAAACAGGTACTTGAGTGAAACGACAAGAAAGAAATAGGAAGCTTTATTGACAAACCCTATTTGAAATAGATGTACTAACTCATCCATTGTTATAAATATATGTCCCACAGAAAATTAAGTCAAGTTTCAAACAATAGCATGCGCCCGTCAGTGTCTCGCATGAACCATTTGGTCATGTCTATTTAATTTTGAGGTAAATTAACAAATTATATATACTTAATAGTGACTGACTTCGAGAATTATTTACGAGTTTATGATGACAAGCTGTGGACAATGAGCGTTTAAACATATTAAGAGTGAGAGAGACACTACTGATAGCAATGAATGATGGTTAAGTTACATTATAAACTAAATAAAATGTGATCTTTGGAAGTTTACTAAGTAATTTAGAACGTATGGTGCCTCCGAAGAGACATGAAACTCTTGTATTTGAACACTAGTACGATCATAAGTGAGCTCTGTACTAAAAGGTTATAAATTAGAACCAAGATTATGTTTAATTCAATCTGATTTGAAATTGTTTTTCTCCAATAAATGAGATCTGGACAACAACTACTTCTTTCTGACTCAATGAAAACTCCTTTAATTCACAATTTAACTTCATTATGAAATTTCTTTTTTAAGCACGCATATGCTACTATCAAAGTTATTAAAACTCAACACTCTTATTGTCATAAACATAAAAAATATTGAAAGACACTACTACTACTGTAGTGAACGAAGACTTGGCGGAGATACCCAATTTATTGTTCAATGCAAAATCACAGTGGTTTATTGAAATGTGAAATTCATACATTAAGTACATCATTCGCACATCGTCTTGGAATTTCTCCTTAAAAACTTTATTCTTCCTTCATTCCTGTTGTTATCTTGATTGCTTTCTGTCATGTCTGGCCGCTGATGACTGTTATGTCAGAATCGTTTATCACTTATATGTGTAAAACGAGGAACCTCTGCAGTTCGCACGACGCGAAATAAGAACACAAAGACTGGTACAACTGAAGGCTTATTAACCCCAAAACACGACGACGACCCTAGTCGGAAATACAATCATTTATTTAATAGAGAATGCACTATAACTGACTAGATAATGAGAATCAACGACACTTGGTATGTGGTTATCAGGGTTTGATTCTTCTGTAACATTTTCCTCAAATTTATTGAGAATCTCATTAGTAGATAATAGATCACTGGCAAAACCAGTATCTCTCAAAATTGCATTAGATTTTCGATCATCATTTGGTTCATTCGACATATTTTCCTCATTTTTGTAAGGAATTCTATCAAAAACATGTGATCCATTAGGATAACTCATATCTGATAAAACCCGATAAGTAGATTCATCAGAAACTTTTGCCGCAGAATGATAAGTTTCATTTGGTGCAATTGTGTTCATTATGCTGCTCGATTTATTTTGTTTCTTCATGCGCGGGTACTGCAATAATTTCATGACAATTTTACAAGACACTGTCTTTATGAGAGCTGAGCAAGTCATTGCTGGTACATTGTGTAATATAAACAACACTACTAATAGTAATAATATTACTATAAAGTGTTTACATCAATAATATCAACGAGTAACTAAAGTAACGATAAAAATTTGGATTGCATTATCTAATTACAATAATTTTTACTTACATATGATCAATAAATGAATACACATCTAAAGCTTTTTCCTATATGAACAGAGAAAAAATGAAAAGAACTCATTGACGATAATATGGAAGAAGAAAACGTGCATGACTGTTCTCATCAGAAAGAAAAATCAAGAAACCAGAATAGGCAGATCGATTTACATATTATGAAAATGGAAATAGTAGCATATGGACGAGTTTAAAGTATATACGACAAGCTCCAAATAGTTTCTAGCCAGTTAATCATAGAACGGCTATTATAGATTGATAGTTTATGAAAAAGAAAACAGTACTATTAACAGTGAAAACAGGCATTACATAATCAGTAAGTTTGTTAGTGTCTTCTACAGAATACTATGCCTGTAAATTCAAATGAAAACAAAGACATATAAACGCATCTTAATGGTGATAGTTTATCCATATTCTCGAATATTTGAAAGAATCTAAACAGATTTTTAAGAGTCTCCTCTAAATTGTTCCCAGTTAGAGTTTGAATTTTCATCACCAATTAACATCGGCTATAATTCAAAGGTGTTCTTTAGTTAAATGATTGAATGAATTTCAAATACAAATTCAAGAGGCGCTATCTGATTAGTTCATTCACAAAATACAAGGAGTCACTACGTTTAGGTTTATCTCACAATCAAAGATTTTATGGTTAGGAATTAGGAATAAAGTCGATTTATCTACTATATACAATCATAAGAGATAGAATCATGTATTTGATATATTTAATACCATCACTTTTACTCTATGGTGACAGATTTTCGTTTTTAGACGGTTTTAAACGTTTTACGTAATATGTGAAAGTATTTCTCCTGATCACCATATGTTATACTTGAATTTCGCGCAAAAACCCAAAAGCCACTTTTTTTTTAATTCTAATTAACTCATCCCTTAGTCTTAGTTTCACCGTGAATTCCTGGTGTGAATTTGAAAAAAGAACACAAATTGATTCTAACCAATTAAGTTAATTATTAAAAATGTGAGAAATTTATGGAGCTTGTTGAATTTCATAGTTTAACATCACAAGTGGGCCTTAATTAGTTACCTAATTGAAAACTAGGAAGCACTGGATAATTCTGTTTAGTCCTAATAAGTGACTCTTTGATAGTGTGTATTCACGATCCCACAGGGTTTCCAGCCCCGATGACTCACTAATTAAGGTCAATTTGTAATCGAAAACTATGTGAATTAACTGTCTCATCTTTCATCAATTCTATACGGAAATGAATTGTGATTGCATTCAATCGAAGCAACAACTTTGAAGTATCTATACAAAGTATTCTAAAAACAGAGATGGATGGTGGAGAGCAGTAGCATCCAAGATGCACGTTTCATCCTCGCCGGGACTCAGCTTGGTATGCCTCCATCTAAATTACTAAAACACTAGAGGCCTAAACAATAACGATAGTCACCTCCCACATATTCACCCTCCCAGTTAATACCGTACACGAACGGAAGTACTGAGTGACATCAAACTATAAGACATCATCTCCAATTACCAAAACATTCAGGACATAGTTGGCTAAACCACTTTTTAAGAGTACTCATTTTTTAATATACTACTTATCAAAGACAACTTTATGCCTAGGCAACTCACGAATATGGCAGTGTATATTCTATCAGCAATAGTATATTTTAAAAATGATCACGACTGAGCGTTTATTTTGCATGTGTCCTAATACTACACATCATTAAAACCTGATCAAAAGTCGTTAGTCAAAATAATTTATGAAAGTAGAGAATACACTTAAGTAGCCAATTCTTTGATCATATGTGTCTTCGTAGAGCTACTTACACTCAATGGAGGCATCAAGAAAGAAACTCATAGGGTGCTAAGTACATGTACAATGATAGCAATAATATTCCGTAAAAGAATGACGTTAATTGTGAGACTTACCCATTCTTCTTGCCTACACAATGCCACTGAATAATAATAAGCGCAAACTGGCGAACAAGGCATCAAACGATAGGCTTCAGAATAGAACGTCAATGCCTCTCTGAGGAAACAAAATGAAGACGAACGAACAAAAAGAAACGAAAGATAAATATGAGGAAGAAGTAATACCGTCGGGACCCTTATAAAAATCCTAAGTAATTAATGCAATAATTATCAAGGAATAAGTCTGCTACCAATCGCTTTCAAACTATTAGTTTCGATCATAATCTGAAGACTGTATAAAAACCATGTAGGACTAACTCGCGAAGAACGGACTGACTTTGATTAAGGTTATATATCACATCCTCACACCACCAAACCTTGTAATACCACCACACTTGTTCCAGGTCACGAATCATGGTGTTTCTTGATACCAGGGCCGTGGTCTTCAATTCATTGAATAGGACTGTGCAACGAGAATGTCTGTCCAAGAAGGGTGCGCACGAGAACCTTATTGTTATCTTGAAGGCTATGTATATAAACATCTCAGGCAGAGTGAGGGCATACATCTACATCTCTCAGTTTTCCTATTCCATAAGTCGGGTTGTCCAATCTCACCATTCCTCTTCAACTTTGTCATCGATAATGTTTTGGAAACAGCTCTGAAGAAAGTACACAGTAGTGATGTGGATATGTTGTCTAAAGATCACGAGTATGGAGGTGTTTTAATTTGTAACAAACGAACCGGCTGGTCAAATTACGTTTAAACATTTGAGAATTAGTGCTCAAGAGTACAGTATGAACCCTGAAACTTCGAAGTGTAAAGTAGTTTATAATTGTCTCGAAAAGATTACTCAAATTCAGCGGAGACAGTATGTTAGTAATCCCGAAGTGAGTTCGTGTGTAGAGATAGTGATTAAACTGGGGTTACCACATCGAAACACTGGCTTCAGTATCTTGGATATATTCTACAGATATCATCCCAGTGACGCCCAACAAATAAATAAAAGTATAGCCGGACAAAATGGTTATCATCTATGGAAAATGTCTTATTGACAATAGACCTCGGTATGGCTCTGATACTTTTAGTCTTATGAATTTTCAACCGATCATTTCTGGTACATTAAAACCCCAAATAAGCGTTAGTGATATCATTACGATACGCTAACTCGACTACTAAACAAAATGTTGTTTTCGGTTACGAAAAGTATCAGTTGAAGGCAAGTAATACTTCAGAAGGTGATTGTACTTGATTATTCGTTAATTTTAACACCTAACTGACATGTCATTAAGATATTTCAAAGATGATGCAGAGATTAGATATAAAACATTGCCTAAGAGTGGTGAATAAATGTATGAAATTATTGTAACTGAGTGATTATAATGCTAATGATTACCAACTATTTCAATCAGCTGACTAGTTGGACAAACCGAGAACACGTAGAAGAATTCTCAGATATCCAACACAACCCACCACTTCTTCCTTTTCCCCTAACCGTCAACAAATAACAATGTGATACAAATTGTCTTAGAAAAGAACAGAAAAAATCACTGACATACTTCGTACACAAAAAAAAGACTTACTTAAAACTCTCCATTTCACGGTGTATATGACCTATTTGTAAATAATTCGCATAATAACACTTGTCCAATTGAACACCAAGAGAAAATGCATTTAATTGTTGATCACGACCCATAGTTTCAGGATAATTTGTAATAGATTGTGAAAACATTTTCATTACATAACCAATCAAATACTGATAACGAGCTGAATGAATGGTAAGATTATTTGTTTTAAGTAAATCTAAAAATTCATTCACAATAGGCTGTGACATTGTTTCTAAAAAGAAAATTTGTTAAAAGTATTTTATTTTTAAGGGAAAAAACGTTAAACGTTATGTTTAAACAGGATAATGATAATGAATAATCATAATTTATAACAAAGTCAATGGCGAGACTATAATTTATGGACGAACCAATCACGTATAAGATAACGTCTCAGATGTTGGCGCGAAATTCACTAATCCATTTGGATAAATAGAGTCTTGGCATTATAGCCGATGTCAGTTTATGATGAAAAACCGAAATCTAATTCCTAAGCTTAATTGTCAACTGTAAATCACAATTCTAATTTCTTACATAGGTTCATAACCCTCATTTGGTCCTGGTTATTAAGCGGACACTCTCAAGGTCAGTTTAGCGTCGCTCAAAGGTCGTCCATAAATTAAAGTCTCACAAAATCAATCAGTGATAAGCAAAATATCACACTCTATATTACCAAAACCAGATGAAATTACCAAAACTGATCATATTCTTACCATATTCTACTCTTTACAGGTTCATATTAACCAACTATTAACTGAGTAGGGTTTCTAATTGATCCGTCTTTTTTTAGTAATGGCTTTATTCAATATTATATTTTTGGTACAATATAGAATTCTCAGCATAAAGTATTTCAACAAGTTTCCTTTCTTTATTTCTTCATTTATCCTGACGATAAATATTGAGTGATCACCAGTTAGATGTTTTTATTTATTATTTATTTGAACACATAAATACTGGTACAAGGGGGCACCAAATACACATGCACCACACAAATCTCATTTGATATGTGAAGGCTGTGATACTGCCCGGGTGCCCAAACCGAAGCAGGTGGTTTTCTTAGGGGGCCACACCCGGTGCCCTCGACCTAAAGGTCTGATCCACAAGACAGTGGAGCATCGTGAGGAGATGCAGTCTCATGGTAGCCGGTGACCAACGATTGGTTCATACCCCATTTGTTCATTCAATATACTGGAGCCCATGTGCACCATTGGTTTGGAATGAGGGTTTTCCAACTCCCCTAGGTGGACTATCCTTGTCCACCAACCCGATTAAAGCGCCAGACATTCGCTTTTCGTCCTCTCAATTCCGTAAACAACACTCCCACCACGAGAAGGCAATGAGTAGGACTTCCCTAGCAGAGGCTGTATACGCGTGGCCATGTGAGAGCATTTCGAGAGAGAGAGAGAGAGCGGACTCTCCCTACTCTCGGCCATACCAGGGCATTTGGGGGCTGGTAGACCAAACCGAAGTAGGTGGAGCAGGGTTCGCACCTGTAACTTAGTGGCTGAAAGTCAAATGCCCTAATCACTAAGCCGTCGCACCATACAAAGTTATAAAGTAATTGGAAATAGTTATTCACTTTAAATAGGATACTTAAAGAGATTAATTATTGATCGAATTACCAACGAAAACATATGCTTAAAACAGAATGTCGACATTTGTACAACAAAAAATCACGTTTTTTCCTATCTAGTTCTCTAGAACTATCGAATGTGTATATCGTTAATAACTTACTATCGGAATCATTCATCAACTTCGTAGAAATAAGCTTAGATACTTTTAACCATATCAGACATATTCGAAAACGTGGAGATAAATCAATACTATTTGGGATTGTCTCATCCATTTGGCAACCATGATGTATTTTCCACTTTTCAAGAATATTGAATGCCACTTCTAAATTATTAACGATTAGGTAGTATTCCAAGTACAAAGTTTGATAAACATCTATCCAAGTAGACAGGATCTAAAAAGAAAGGGATATTTTTTCAAAAGAAATTTTAAAGATTAGAACACCTAAACAGTAGAAATACTCTTAACAAATATAAATGAATATTCGTTAGATGGTTTTTGTGGAGATTGTAGTAATTTCAATGGTTAAGATCATGAGTCAATTGAAGCCAGACCACCATGGAAAACCTGGAAGCACTGGACGGCCGTTTCGTCCTATTGTGGGACTTCACAGCAGTGTGCATCCACGATTCCGCTCAAGGGATTTGAACCCAGGACATGTCAGTCTCGAGCGCAAGCCCTTCACCACTAGATCAGTAGATAAAGTTTGAACAATACTGTTATGGACATAAATCACTTTTATGAATTAGTAGAAAAAAATTACTTCGATAATCAACTATATACATCAGAAATTGATAAATTAATTCCTATCTTAGGTAGAACTAAGATGTATAAGCAATTGATCTAAAAAAATGTCTACACGATAACAATGTAACTCTAATCGAAAATGGTAGATAGAAATAATAATATTATTATATATTATATTATTATTGTTGTTGTTTAGACAGTTAATTGAAGTTAAAAAGGTTGAATAGTAACTAGGAGAAAAATAACAATTGATTGTTGAGGTTTTGGGAAATGGATGATACATTTTCAATCAACCTATTACTCATCGTTAATATGTTGAGAACTTATATTAAAAATATTCATAATTTAATTCATTTCCATATTGTTGGCATATGTGTATCCTGTGAGGAGTGCCTTGATGTTACCTTAAGTCACAAGCATTCTAAGCAAAGATGGATGGTGGCTAGGAGTGCAATAATCCAGGATGTGCGCCACTTTGTCATATTTGGGACTTGTCAGCTGAATGTACCCGCATCACAGAGTCAATGTTCACTGCGACACCCAGCATTGTTCTCTTCAAGCGAACGATGCTGAGTTCAATTCCTGGAGTGAACATCAACTCTGGGATGCAGGTGCATCCGGCTGACGGGTCCTATGTAGGACAAAATTTGCATCCTGGATACTACTGCTAACCACTATCCATCTTTACTTATTGATAATCTTAGTTTTCGCTCATCGTATTATTAATTTGATACAAAAGTGTTAGGTTAATAATCTTCAAGTCTTTTAAAACAAATATTTAGTTTAACTTGAATTGGATTCGAACTATTCTAATCGGTAAATATTTATGTATAGTTTAATTTAATAAGATAAATGTTTTCTTATCAAATGTAGATCACAGTTGACTGTTAAAATCCAAATGCATCATAATTAAAAAATATATAGATATCATATTATTACAGTGGGTCGAAAATCGCCAAGTGGCTTTCTTTTCCAAGAGATAAGGCATAAACCACTGATGGGCTTGATTTTACAGGGGTTATATATACATATGTATGCGTCTAGCCAAATAGACTTCTTTCCTCACTCCGTATTAGAAGAAAAATATTATTGGTTTAATGATGACTACAACAGTTACAACTAGATAAAATAAACGACTTTCTGTCGAAATGATAGATAGTTCGTGTTTGATTAGTCGGTTAATCATTCGTAATCAAGGTACGATGTAATACGAACTTGCATTGGTTCAATTCACTATGTAAGAGTAATGCAACTCATATACCAAGTATAGATTTATGTACTCAACTTCGGATCGCACAGTTTATGGGAGAGTTATTAATACTTCTTGGCTCTTCAAAACAAAGCAGATTAAGTGGGATTTGGACCTGTGACCTACAGGCCTTAAAGCATAGTGATTTAACAATAGATACTTCTCCAAAGATATTTATGCATATAGACAATATAAAATGAGTTTATCATTATAGTGGTTTTCCAGTAGAACAAGATATCATTCAAACTCTTTAAAACCTGAGTAGTACAGAATCATTCTATGGTGCAACCCCCTTTATCAGAGACCAAGAACTTCAGTTGACTGGAAGCACCAAATGTTAGACAGCTGCTTCACTTTTAACATAAGCCCTTTCAGAAGTGAATGCCAATGAAACTTACCAAGGATCAAATCTTATACCTACACACCTCAGAATGAGCGCATTATTCTTAGAATGATAAAAAACTGAGAAAATAATGATACATATATCGAATAGTCTCAGATCCCAGTAGATTTTTTGTCAAGTTACCTTCCATAAGTTAACAACGGAGAAATAATATGTTCTAATGCCAACAGAACTCGTTGAACAACAACAAAACCTACCATTATCAGTTATTTCAGAATCTTGAAATCAAAGTTTAAGGCTAGTGAGAATACAACAACACTCGGTGTCCAAAAGTTGATACTGATACACAAACTTCCTATACCCGAACCCAATCTGCTACTCGAGTTAAAAGATATATATCCACACTAGGTAATTAAGCCTTTCAGTGATTTATATCTCATCCCTTAGCTAACATCGTAAACTTGTCATTTGACGATTTTTTTATTGACACAATGTATCAGTTACAATAATAACTTCAATACATGAGCCAGAAATCATTTTGTATTTTACTGCATACCTAAACTAAATATTACAATCTTTAGAATGTAAAATACTATTAAATGAATTAAAACACAATTGATAACTTGAGAGAATGGATATCCAAATTAAAATTGATTTGTAACTAATTGTTAGTTTCAAGTGAAAACAGTCAGTCAGTCAGTAACAAAATAGAACTTCATACGTACGTACATCAGTTCGAGTTGCCATACCACATTAGTACAGAGATACAGTTGTCGATTCAAATCCCGTAGTGGTAGAGGTAGTAAGAGTATAAGCAGTAATCGGGAAGATTAGGGTTTGGAGATGTTATTTAAAGAGTATAGTCCAGTGAAATAAATTTGGGAAGAGAAAAAAGAGACAAGGAGGAATCAGGAGACTAAAGCTTGGGAGAACACAAATAGTGTATGCACCTGCGCCATTGCAAACGATTTTGAGCCATGTCATTCAGGGTCTCTAACCATCGGTTGCTATCATCTCGCGGTCCCCAACCAGGTAGTCTACACCTACCAACATGACTAAATCCACTTGTCAGTGACTTCATGGGCTTGTGCCATGTTTTGGTCTGGCCGCCCATAGCTTTCTTCCAACCTACTCATATACCACTGAACATCGCACGTGGTGAAAACAACAATAACAATATTTAAAATAATGTTACTTGTATAATTTTCACACTTACAAATTGTGTATTTGCCAATTGACAAGAAATCTCTTCAATATTTTCCTGGGTATTTTTTGTAGAAATTTCTGAATTACAAATATTCGCCATATTCAGTATCCGTAACCAAGACTTAATTATTGAATAAATATGTTTTGTTGGTAAATTATTCTCTTCAAGTTCGTTTAAATTGAAACGAAATGGTGTACATAATGTACGATGAGAGAAATTTGAATTTGATGCATAATTGATAAATTTCGATATAGGTTCAGATAGACTTTTAGATTCTGAATAAAACTGTATAGAATTTCTATTAATAAAAGATATTACTGAAATATATAAAAAAAAGTACAGATTATTTATATATGACAGGACGATTAGTGAAAAAGTATAACTTTAATTTTAAAGCTTTCGTTTAACCTAGAAATTGTTGTCATATTTCTTATTGTTCTAGATCCATCATTCATTAATCATTCACATATTACCATGGTCTTGTACCAATGATGTCTAAGTTATGTACATATTATAGGTTTTTGTGTTGTGTAATCAAATATTTCAGGTTTATTACCGTACAAATTTTGAGTCATTATTGAATCGAATAGACTAAAGGACTGATATGCTTTTTGTATCCGCCTTCTAATTGATCACTGGGTTAGAAGGGGCTCCAGGACTACTAAGGTCTTGGTGACTGGTTCACTGATCTTTGTGCCAATCAGTACACAAATGGTCATCGGTCATACTGGCAATATAGATGAATTAATCGATAATCGGATTAAAAAAAGACAGACCACACAACTGTTTTCTTGCCACTACAACTCGGAAACACGAGACCAAATACAGCCCAAGTAAGCAATCTGTTTCCTCTTATGCATATGTATACGTATAACCAATCTTGAATAATGGGATCATTTTTTAGGCTTGGTTCAGCACGATAAGTGATTATTTCGTCATAAGTGTAACGAATGGGACAACAATTTAAAATTGTAAATATTACTTCGGAAGTTATAAATTTTAAAACATGGTAAACATTATATTCATATTTTGCTAAGAAAACCAGCGGAATTCACATTTGCAGAAACTATGGACTGTTAATTGCAGATTTACGGAGAACAATCGTCAATATTCCATACCAGATATATGTGTTTATAGCAGGTTAGTAGGGGGTAAAAGATGATTGCTTGATACATGCTAACATCGCTATTCGTCAACAATGAAATATCCCGACTGCAGATATCTGCAGACCCGTTGGTCTGTGGTTTGCGGTATGTGTGGTATCTTCAGCTACACAAACTCCCATAGTGGCAAGGACTGAATTTGATTCCAATATATATTTAGTGCAACAAGATGGTTCCCATCTGGAAATAAATTATCTGTAGAAATTCTCTTCAACAAACAAATGTACGCAAGTTTCACAGTATTACGGCTGAGAAAAACCAAATACCAAATGTTGGAGTTGGGGCAAGTCTCATTTTGTTAAATTTTGGGCTAGACAAACATGAAGTTGGTTACTACTCAATGATCAACCGATTGTAAAGATCTATCTTAAAGGAAGTCAGTTGTGGTCTGAATAGATCAATGGTAACGTCTCAGACCGCGAAACTGAGTGATACGCGTCCGAATCGTATAAATAGCATCAGTTCCCCCAACACTACAGGCACGCCCTATAAATGAGTGTCAACCAACATAAAACCTAGGTCTAGAGTTTCACCCTGTCAACTACCTGCAACAGCGTGATGCCGAGCAATTTAGACTAGTGGTCACATAATAACTTAATCGTTAGAGTTTGATCAGCATTATTAAAAGATTAGAACAATAAATTTCACTGAGCACATTACTTGAAAATCATTGGTCATTATTCGGCCTTATAATAACAACAGTAGAAATTCATTAATTTTACCAGAAATAAAAAACCACAAAAAATAGTGTAATAATAATAATAATAATAATAATAATAATAATGATAAACTAATCCACTTACATGTAGTAATGATCTCATTACAACTCTTGAATTGATACAGCTTAAACGCCGCCAATGCATACAAAAGTCCAGCTGAATTTTTATTCAGTGAATTAAAAACAATAATAATTATAATGATAATAGTAATAATAATGAAAAAACTATCGGACAAAATCTTATTCCATACTACTTAGTATAAATGACAAAACGAAACAATATTACATAATCACAGTTGAACATAATTGGTTAATTTTAGAAGTGCCCCCAAATGCCCTGGTATGGCCGAGAGCAAGGTGGCCCCGCCCTCCCTCTCGACAAGCTCTCACATGGCCACGCGTATACAGCCTCTGCCAGGGAAGTCCTACTCACGAAATTGAGAGGACGAAAAGCGAATGTCTGGCGCTTTAATCGGGTTGGTGGACAAGGATAGTCCACCTAGGGGAGTTGGGAAACCCTCATTCCAAACCAATGGTGCACATGGGCTCCAGGATCCTGAAGGAACAAATCGCGTATGAACTAATCGTTGGTTACCGGCTACCATGGGACTGCATCTCCTCACGATGCTCCACTGCCTTGTGGGTCAGACGTTTAGTTCCAAGGCTCGGGGTGTGGCCCCCTAAGAAAACCGCCTGCTTCGGTATGGGCACCCGGGCAGTATCCCAGCCCTTACAAAAATCGAATGATTTATGTAGCGCATATCTATTTGGTGCCTCCTTGTACCAATCGTTATGTGATTAAATACATAAATAAAATTTTAGAAGATGAAGCTTATCATAACAATGTGATATATTGATGGTTGAATATGTGTACTGAAATAATCCAAAAAAAGCCAAAATAAAATCAAATAATTCAATATGAGTAGTAGATAAATATTCATTCTTTTTCATGATTGAACAACATTATAGTTGAAAAAGGATTATAAGATTGATCTTAACTAAGCTTTTGTAATTTTGTACAAAAGTTGATTCAAGGGTGTATAATCCTAAGGTTTATTAAAGTCTTGGACATTAGAAAATTCAAACCGCTTTGATATGTATCCAAAAATAGTTTGTTCCTACTCTAGACCCACCATAGTAATATTGTTTTATTATACGAATAACAACATTAAAACAACTGTGGTCTAAATACCAAGGTTGAACTTGATAGTTCTAAATAAATTGAGCACTGGGCAGAAAGTTATTATTAAATGAATATACTTTTTAATTCACTTGGTATTGTTCGGTTTGTATCTTCCCATTGAGGTTTAAGACTGCAATTGATCAGTCTGTTATTGGCATATGTGCATACTGTGCGTATGCCTCGATATTACCTTAATTCACAAGCTATTTGTAAGCAATGATGGATAGTGGCTAGCAGTGAAATCCAGAACAGCTGGATGTACCTGCATCTCAGAGAGTTGATGTTCACTTTTGGTTGTATCCCAATAAGTAGAAAAATTGTATTTCTGACAAGTTCAAAGTATACGAGTGTTGATGTAATTCAGTTATTTATTTACTCTAAAGAAGTGATTAACATTACGTCACAAAATGTAAGAAATACAATTTTCCTACTAATTGGAATATAACAAAAAAGTATTTATTATTAATTGTGGTCTACATTTATTATTCATAACTATTCCACCAATTTTACACTCTTCAAACCTGTCACTTAGCAATATTATTAATTTTAAAAATGATATAATCGGTTATTATTAATTCAAGAATGATACAAAAATCAATAATTTGTGTAGTGATCATTTTTTTTTAATAACGATGAGTTCCAGTAATCAATGTCATTAATAGTTCAGATTCAATTTTGAATGTGGTTACAGTATGTTAAATTTTTATGTATTTCGGATATGACGGGATGAAAAGTCAAAATTAAATTGATTTACTCATTATGATCTTTGGGTTAACATTATTTCCGTTTTAATTCAATGTAATAATTATTCAGTGTAGCATTCGGTTTTGTTTTCCCGTATGACCTTTTTATTCTATATAACATACGATATTCTTCCATTCAATTGACATGTACTATGCTCAGCATATGATTTATTATAACTGTAAGTATTTTTCATATATGTGATTTCATCTTAATTATTAATCAAAAATGGGTGCATGAATCAATATATAAATGAGTGCATTTTCAACTAGACTTGTCGTGGTTGTTTGTGCTTCTGACTGCTTGTGGAATATATTTCCCTCTTCCAAACATGAACTTCTCTTTCTAGTTAACTGGGCTGAGACACATCGGAATAGGTAGATTATCTGTCATTGTGTCACAAAGTGTTCGTTCCATTCACAGATTAAGTAAACTCGTAATCTTTTCAAACATAGCAATTTCTGGAGAAAAAAAGTGCCCACTCGGATGTATTGGGCACATATTTCGATAACACTTAAACCAATTACTATTGTTTTCTTTGATATTTATGGTTATAGCCTCAAAATTTATCGTTTATGAAAAAAACCACAATTGTTTTATTAATGTCAATCACATAATTCTGATAAAAATTCGTCATTTTTATCATATCAACTAAATTTATTAAGAAAAACTGATTGTTGTAAACTCATTTTCTTTCAAAGGAGAACCCTCTGAGCAAATTATAATTACAGTATATTACAATATAATGCATTATTCAATCACAATCGAGAGAACTAAATTTGAGCTTTTAAGTGAGATTTAAAAATGAATGAATTTTATCTTACATTCCATAAAAATTATAAATAACTTAATACAGTGGATTAGAACGTTTTTTAACAGATGAATTAACGAGTTAATCTAAGCTAGACTACCACTGAAAACCCAGAAACACTGGAAAGCCGTTTCGTCCCGGTATGGGACTCCTCAACAGTGCACGCCCACGATCCCGGACGCAAGACTTGAACCCAGGACCTTCGGTTTCGCACATGAACACTTAACCTCTAGACCACTGAGCTGGTTTCCAGTGGTGATCTAGCTTAAATTGACTCGTGAATTAAACTGTTAAAATACTACAACCTCCACAAGTACCTAAGTAGTGGTGAGACTATAATTTATGAACGGCCTTTGAGAAAATCCACCTAATTACTGGGGTCAAAAGAAGGTTATAGATTAGTGAGAGGAATTAGGATTAAAATGGACAGTCAGGAAATAGGGTTTTCATCACAAACAGATCAATCGCAATCCCGAAATTCTGTTTAGCTATATGGGTGCAAGAACTTCATTCCGAAATCCGAGACTTACTAACTTTTATTTCATTAGTTCATCCTTAAACTACAGTCTCGCCGAAGCAGCAGAAATAGTATCAGGGACAGTAGGAAAAATTAGCTATAAAGAGTATGATTGAAGAATTAATTCGCAAAATGAAAGGTATAAACTCAGGATCAAAGGGAAGACAAAGAGTAGATGAACCTGTATCATTTGTAAAATGATATAGTGATAAGGTACAAGTTGACGTTCGAACATTTAACTATTTAAAACATTGAATTTAACAAGGATAATAGGGATGATGTGCCTGATAAAAGTCAACCATGAGTGATCATTGAACGAAAACAGATATATTCGACAATACTAAATTTAAGAGATTATCTCATACTGCTTATTATCCATTCCAATAATTTTCCACTTTGATTACATATACCCTGATTGTGATCTAACTTGGTTCTTCAATACTGGTTAGGTAATTGATTCGTGTGTCACATGATCTATTCCCCAGTCTGATGATATTTAATTCTAGTGTTCAGTACAGAATCAGAGAAATTTTAATTTTTCCATCACAACAAGTACAAAAACACAAACATGGGTTACCTACCATGAAGATCAATTATTCCATTCTTTGAACAGTTGACAAATCCAACAACTCCATCGAAATCAAGTTTGTTAATATCACTTTGAATAAGATTCCATAAATCTGAACATTTTTCATTATTCTGATTGCTAGAATTTGTAGTATCATCATCCACATTATTGGTTGATGAATAATTGGGAATGAAATAAGTATATAAACGATATAACAACTGACTCAAACATAGTGTAATATGAGTTGTTTTAGTTACATCGGTTGATTGTTGTATTGTTTCTAACATTTGTTCAAATTGTTTTAATCGTTTGAGGTACACAGCTGATGAAGTGATAAAGGGTACTCTTGACTGTTGCGTTATATTCTTGAATTTTAATTTATTACATAAACTCTGGTCAATAAATTCAGGAAATCCATAGACTGATTATTTTTATTTAAAGGAAGAAAAAATCAGAAACAGAAATGTTTGCAAGTAACCATGTGATATTTTACAATCATATTTATAGTATTAAAAGTATCCCATTGTTTTATGTAATTAATGATTAATAAACATGAAAGCCTAGAAATGGCATGGTACGGTCGACCGTGGAGAGAGGTAGCTCTCTTCAAATGCTCTCACATCGCCACGCGTGTACAGACACTCCCACGAAAGTCCTAGTCACTGCCTTCTCTTCGAGGGTGTTTTAAACGAAATTCAGAGGACGAAGAACGAATATCCGACGCTTTAACCGGTGGGTATGGAGGATCCACTTAGAGGAATGGGTTAACCTTCATTTCAAACCAACGGTGAATATGGACACCAGGATCCTGAGGGAACAAATGGCGTATTAACCTATTGTTGGTCACCGGCTACCATACGACTGCATCTCCAAAAGTTACCCTACTGCCTTGTGAATTGGACCTCTAGGTCAAAGGCTCGGGAAGTGGCCCCCTAACAAAACCATCTGCTTTGGTCTGGGCACTATTCCAGCCCTCACACAAACCGAGTGACGAAATGTGGTGCCTCCCTGTACCAACGTTTAAGTATTTAAATAATAAATAGTTTACTTAACACGTTTTACTCACAACTTTAAGTAATGAAATGGTTACTCAGACAACATACAGTAAGTTATGGTTTAAAAAATTCTTTGCCTATAAGGTGCGACAGGGATTGTCAAAAGAACTTTAATGTCATAAGTTTGATCAAAAAGTGTGTTGTTATTCAAGCGCATTGAGATGATAATATTCAGACATTAATTAATAACTGTCTCATATTCAATATGAGTTAATTCCAACAGTCTCAACTTCTCACCAGAACTTATGACATTTATTTCAAAGTTAGTCACTAATAATCCCTTGACTACTCAACAATCGGTTGGTTTGTAGAAATTAATTCAATTTGGAGATAGTTTTCGTTTTCAGTTTAAAATATAAACTGCAGAAGGCTAAAACCTAATGGTCTTAAGGGATAATTTGCATATTGAGAAACCTAACGGTCATTAATTCGACCTTTGTAGAGAAATCGTAAGCACTACCATTGAGAAGTTTCAAACTGAGATGAGAAGCTATTTAATATCCTCTGATAGCCAATCATTCCTTTTCCATCTGACATATATTCATTGATGACAAGAACTAAACTTTAAATTGAATGAGTCTTTATTGGTACCCCATCTTATCCACTTATTGAAGTAAATTGTGTTTAACTAATAAGATTTTGAGCTTCATTCATAAGAAACTGGCTATTTTTTATGACACAATGTGCTCATACATTGATTTATGAGGGAGAAGTGACAAGACAGTCAAACATCCAATACCATTGAACATATATTTTTCCTTTACTTGCACTTTTCAAAACTTATTATCTGGTAAATAAGCTGCTTTAGCTCCCCTACATATCTTTTTTTCACTATAATTTAGCGCAAAACACTTTTATGAGTTATGACAATATTCATATATGTATAGAATAGATGGAATGTGGCTAGGATACGGATTTCGCCCCATTTGGAAATCTGGGATGCAGATACAACAAGCTGATAAATCTCAAATAGAACGTAACGTGAGTTCTGAATTTCATTACTAGATACACGTCATCTATTATACATTATTTTTGTTTTATAGTAGGCTATACCGAGGTAATCTGAACAGAATGCACGACTTCACTAAACCATAATTTAATCAGAAAAAAGTGTTACTAGGCCTAGCAAGAAGAGTATTGTCTACAGCCAACCCGCTTATTGACCGGAGTTAAAGTATTTTTGTTTTTATTTTTTTCAAAACACAGTTCCGTTCACATTAAGTTTTTAACACTAAAATAATGTAAAACCGAGGAAATTTGACAAAATAGTATTCTATAAATTTAAAACCTTTAAATGTTTTGCATAATTAAACGAAAAACCAATGGTGGATGATAAGTCATTTTCTTCAAAAAGTACACATCTAATAAATGTTTATCAAAGTAAAATATGAAATATGTTGTAATAAAACGCATATGTCCAGTTAACTCCTGTAACATTATGTGGTTGACTTCTCGAACAATACATAGTCAATGAAAATGGTTGGTGACAGCGTGTATGACAGAACTAACTTAGGAAGATAATACATTTTATTATTTTGTATGCCAAACCTGAAAACAAACAACATACAAGTTTACATACCCTTAACTAAACTCACATAAGAAATATTCGATTTGTAAACGAAAAGTAGCTTCAAGAGCATATACATTGTCTGGATCGTGTTCAAGAACAAATTCGCATATATCATTAAATTCATTAAAATCAAAGGGTAACTATAAAAGCAGAAAACAGATAAATAATATCAACTTTTTGTCAAATCTAATGATAATAAAGCTGAGAATTAAGAAACTCAAAATATGTAATTCATTCTAATAATCAATCGACTTGGATTCCTCAGTATTATTATTATTATTATTATTATTATTATTATTATTATTATTAGATTAACTTACCATCATTCCATTGATAGTTATTTTATATTTAGGTGCAAAACTATGCACTAGCGTTGAGTCATGATAGAAAGCGAATTTGTAAGAAGTATTTCTTAGCTTGAGGCGTATTTTTAATATCTAAGTAGTTGTATTTAAGTTATTAAAACTGAAGAAACATAGAACACCGACGATGAATCGAAATATTTTGTCTTGTTATAATGTGAGTAAATTATGATGGACTGATAAAGTCTAATAAATGTAGATAAATTTATGTACTAAACTATGAGTCATATCCACTGTGTATATTGATTAGTAAATTGTTGATAAGTGAGGATGTTGACCGCGTGATCAACCCACTAGCAAAAAATTAAGTGCATGAACTAACCAGAAATCTCTACAAACCATAATTCGAAAGATAAAAAAACATATTTTAATGTAATCAGTTTATTTGTGGAACAAAAGACAGTGCCAGTGTCAGTGATTTAAGGACTATGACAATGAAATGATACTTTGAATCACATTTAACAATAAATGATTGTATATTTGAACATGAATTTTGTTTTCTGCCTCTCGCGAGAGAGATGTGTCAGTAACTTCAGGTCAAAATAATTTCTCTCTCTCCCTCTTTGGGAGATTCGAACCCTGATTCCAGGCATTATTAATGTAAACTCTGACAGCTAATTACGATTGCTGTAAAGAAGCCTCTAAGAACTGAAAGAATACCACGGAAACGATTTAATTTTCAGTGGTGCTGTAATGTAAACTGGATTTTCAACTTATTAGAGCAGTTTATACAGATATGAAAGAGATTGAATATGATCAGTAAATGGAAAATGCTGATAATCAAAGATAAAAAGTTATGTTTACATTATCATTGGCAATAAGATGACAGAGATTAAATTCAGACGATATATCATTCCCATACTCATGGAGTCTCAGCAATACGTGGAACGTCGGCTCAATGGTCAGGGCCCCAGACTTTCAGTTACTAAGTCTCAAGTTTGAACCCCGCAATCGGGTGATATTCCGAGAATGCGGCTCACAGCGAAGTAAATAAATCTTCATGTGATGAACTACAGTAAATCGGTACTATATAGTAATGTAAATATCTTTCTAACACAGCGTTTTGGGTAACAATTTCAGACTGATCCGATAAACCAATAACACGAGTGATCTAAAAAATCTAGAAAACTTAGAAACAATCGAAACTCAGGTAAAATACCTTAAAGTAATTAGTCCCTTTGATAAATTTCGATAGTGTAATAAGAAGATGAAGAGTATTAGAACTATGTGATATATTGTCGCAATAAATTTCGAACAATCTTATCACACACATACTTGTTAAGATCATTTATCTATAAAAATAAAAGGTCAACTAGACTAGAAATGGAGGGTAAGGAGAGACAAGGACAATTAAGAAAATGTGAAAACAATCTGAAACCTCATCACTCTGGATAATAAGCTCATGTGATGTTTGTATGAAATGATGATTCCTTTGTACTTCATGACTGCCTGATTTAGAATTTCAAATACAATACGTTCGTTTGTGTTCATCTAGTTCTCGTCGGTCTAAATTGCATTCTTCTTGGGATTCTTATTTTGTACTATAATCCAAATACTTCAAATCATCACATCGGTATTGCGATGGAGCCTGTGATGGAGCGGTTGGACATAAATTCAAATTTTGATACTTCTGATGATTATGTGGGAAGGTTCGAAATCTGGACTATGACCGAGGAAGATATTGAGGATGTTAATATTGTAGCTCATTTCCTTACACTTATCGGAGTAGAAGCATACAGCTTAATAAAGGCATATCCAGACAAACCGATTTCACTCCGTTATGCAACTCTCAATGAACTACTACTGGACCACGTAAAGTGTACAAAATTTGAATGCGGTAAAGAAGAAAATTTTCGTAAAATGATTTGTCAGGGCATCAAGAATTACACCACTTTACTACGTCGTCCCATTCTAATGCGTAATCAAGGTTATTCAGATAACAATTCATTGAGAAGTTGCGGAGCAGGTCACGAAGATGAACACGAGTTTGGTAAATGCTCGTTCTATGGCAAGTTTCGGACGTGTAATTCATGTGTTGTTTGTAATTCTAAACTCTTTAAATGTGATATGATTGGATAAATTGCATCAATACTGATGTTTGTCGATTGCCGATTGACTCAAGTGTCGAGCTTCCAGAAATTCTTTGTTCTTAGTATTCCCTATATCCAAAATTTCTATACTTTTCCCGTCTAATTTGTCCCCGAATTTATTCACATGTATTGATATAAGCAAAGATATGTCATTGAGTTCGACAGCTAATTTATGCTCATACAGGTTAAGATGAAAATGGCGCCCACTTTGTCCGGTATAGCGTTTTCTCCTATTGGAACAGTTTGTTTTGTAGATAACGTTTGGCTTTTCTTCCTTTGTCATTCCGTTCTTTGGTTTGCATAGGATTTATTGGAGCGATTTTTCAGGTTTGTGTGCTACAATTATTTCGAACGGCTTCAATAATCTCGTAATTTTTTATCTTTATATATGGAAGGATGATCCGTTTACTGGTTTCTATACTTGGTTTCATTTTTGCTGATGAGCTGAGTTGATATTTCTTGATGAAGTTGAGTGGATGTTCCACATCATTCCGCACGCTGCAAATGTGCTGCGGTAGGTTCTCTCTCTCTCTTGAGTAAAGCTTGAATGTGATTTATGTTTTGAGTTGTTGAGCTGTTGCTATGGTGGTTGAGGATTCGATCTGTGTAGATTGGCTTCTGATATAATTGGATCTACAGTTCTACTGAGTCAGTTTTCATGATCAATACGTCCAAGAATGATAGTTAGTTTTTCGACTCCTCTTGCACTGTGAATTTTATGTCATCAAAGACTTAACTTATCGGATTGTAAGTGTTTCCCAGTTCAACCTTTCTGATGATGACGAATGTGTCATCCATATAACGTATCCACATTTTTAGATCGATCACTGGTGAAATCGAGGCTTCTAGTATCTGTATCACTGTTTCTGCAATGATTCTTGAAATTGGTGATCCTATTGGTGTTCTATTCGTTTGTTTGTAGATTTCATTGTTGAATTTAAAATATGTTAAGCTTCGTGTACTTTTGGACATTTGTGTTACTGGTGAGTAGTAGGGGTAGAGTTTCTATTCGACTGAGGTGAATAAGGCTGTTACGTAGAAGGATATCATCAGGTCGTCATTGCTCAATTGAACCTCCCTAATCTTATCCGAGAATTGTATAGGAGATTTAATGAAGTTGTCGGATAAATGCATTGACTTGTCCAATATCCTTGAAGTTCCTCCTGATAAATTGTATTTTAAGGTTTCAAAGAGCGATACAATTGGACATAGTGAGATGTTTGGTTTGTGTCGTTTCGACCCATAGTATAGTCGAGGAAGCACTGGTCTACTGGATTACATTCGTTACTGACCTTTTTTGATATTTGTCCTGGTCTCACAAGCTTGTTTAAAGACCTAAAAATTTAGTAGTCCTACTAATTGAATAGTTATTTTGTGCAGGTTTAGAGCTACACAGTCGTAGATATCAGAGATCTTAAATAATATTTTCCAGAGAACATAAGACCTTTACACCACTGAGAAATAAACGTGATCAGAAGTTAATTGAAATATGGACAAGAGATAACGATTAAGCAGGTCAATTAAGCGCTAGTGATGATACAATCTGACCATCAGTTCTAATTTTAGCACCGCATATCATCCATATTTCTAAATTCAATCAACTTGTGGAACATTACGATCATCAATGTAAAGGTCAATTAACGTCCTAGACATAACTGGGAATAAGAGATGAATAGCATAAAAAGGGGATATTTCAATCATTTTCCAGTCGAATGAGCGCATCTACCTAGTGAAAAACGTCTACAAATAGGTCAGTGCATTATCAAAAAGGAACGACTTGACTAACTAAAAGACGCGATGTCTGATACTGTTTTGCACTTAATCAGGGTTACACTACAAACAGAAAAGTTTGACCGACAGAAAAAAAACGATTGTGAGTTTAAAAAAACTAAACCGGTAAACTTACTGGTAGTCGAAACTGAACCACGATTTGAACAAACGTTTTTGCGTACTCTAAATATTTTCCAGTGGGGTCTGATCTGAAAAATCAGTCGACAAAATAATTGTTGAGTGGTCGCGAGCTTACTTCAAAGGATCACAAAGTATTTGGAAATAGCCAAATTACATATGCATTATTTAATTGACGTCATAAAACAAAAACGTACTTTGAGCATTTTCCGATTAGTACTGTGCATACTCTTAAGAGAATTCTTTGATTTTTGTCCGGGTTTTTCTTTGTTTCATTGTAAAGACCCTGATGGTGGATTAAACGCAAAAAAACTTCGAGTTATTTAATAAGGGATAAGATAAGCAGTAAAAAATGGCATTTTGTATTAAGTAGAATTCATACTCATTACTTAGAACTACATACTGCATAACTTGAGTATCACAACAAATACCAACCCTTTATAAAAGACCATACTAGCTAAGGTGCGAATAAATGTCAGGTTCAATTCCTTAGACCGTAGAATGATGTTGAAACTGCGATCGGGATGAAGTACAAGTGAAAAGTGAAGGCACTTTGTATATTCTCCAGTTGTCTTTATAACGTATGCCCAACATGTTGCTTTTACTTCCACTCTAGCTTTGTGACACTGACTATGACTTACATCCCAACAAATACCAAAAAGTCACGATTCTTGAACAAACTTACAATCCAAGCCATGTTGTTTGTAGAATCAATCGAAAGAGCGGAAAAATATGATTCAATCGCTTCCTTCTCGTTCCCAATTTGAGAGCAACAGGCTCCATGAATAACGAGTGTCCCATAATCTTGTGAATTAACTAGCAGTTCCTGAAATATAGGTATAATTTTGGTTAACATTGGGTTACTCCAGTAAGTTTATAACACTCCTCAAACTTTTCGGCCTTATATAACTCCCTGGCCTGTTTTAAGAGTTGGCTCATATTTAGTAGTTTTTTAAATATGACTAAAGAAATGAATCAGAATCTGGAAATAAAAAACTACGATGAGACGACGCTGTAGCGCACCATTTATAAAAGTGGGAGTCCTTATAGAACAGTTGTAAAGTTCAACCTTTGATAGTTGTGTGTCTAGCTTGAAAATATTTATGTGCCGTGGATATGTGATAAGCAATGTGCTAAAGAGAATCCGGAGATGGAAAAACAGAGGAAAGTTGACCTGACGACTCAATAAGCCCACAGAATGCATTTATATCCAACAAAGAAAATAATCGCTAACATCAGCACAAATATAAGATTAAGATAAACTGACAATCGGAACTAGAAGTTAATGACGAAGGGCCCCGGTTGCACTACACAGTGTTCAATGTATTTGTAAAAGACTAGTATTCGAGACTTTGTTTTGAGGATAAAACAGAGTAGACTTGTGATAGGCTTTTTCTCCCATTTCTCTGTTTGCAGATCGTCTCTTGACCAAGACATAGCCCTGGTTGTTAGTGGTAACTTGTGATCTCGCGGTAGATTAATCCTGCGCATTGCTAGATTTATAACAACTTAACATTTTTTGTATGTATATAAAGATACCTCTGGTATTCGAGGTTCGACAACACGTTTGCACGTAACTCCGTTATAATCAGAGAATGACAACCCACTCAAATCAGAGGCTAGAAATGGAGAGGTTCGAAGGTATGTTAAAAGTTTTCGATATGTTGAGAAGCGTTTAGTCTTAGCTGACTAACGATTGTAAGAGATGAGTAGCACGACGTGTCCACTCATGATCTGGTGAGGGTGTGTGATCAGGAGCCTTTAGCCAGGTGTGCCCACTGAAACTAACTACGTAAGCATTGAATGCCGGACCTACCGGACTATTTATTTTGGGGATTTATATACCACTATATATACATTATAAATGATTGAGAATTTTGTTGCCTGTCTTCAGTTACCTTCTAGCTTGTGAACCCGATTCAAGCCTTTCCGTGTACTAGTCACACCGACTTTTAGCCTATTGTTGACACGAATCAAAACTTTATTGTCATATCTCTGTCAAGCCTCAAAGATATTCGTGATTAGGCAGCTTTCTTTGAGTCACACACAAGTAGCTCATGGGATGTAGATTCCTTAAAAGAAATACTACACTTCCATTTGTCCATCTAATGGCTAACAGCTGTGTGTGCGATTCAAAGGTAAATTTCAGTCTTCGCTTATCGGGTTAGTACGTTTTCCAAACTGTTTTAAGCCCTGCATCATGTTCTTCAATGAAGATTAGTAACAACTTAGGTTTAATAATTAAATATCGGTCGCAAATATCTTAGTAATGTCAAAACATTATAGCTCAAGTGCTCGTTCACTTCCTCATCTTACAAGGCATTATATTTCCTATAACTGTATACTGAACATCGAAAAAATGTGTGTTTGAAAACATAACTGCGCGCTCCAACCATTCTGCCTAGTGGTCTAAATAAAGACCTATCTACCACAAGTGTAACTGCTTGTAGCGTGGCGTCGAGTCGAAATTGACTATAAACACCGCTACAGAGAAACACGTGCCAAATAAATCCATAAAATTCCCCGGAAGATCGCTGGCGATCTTGTGGTATCGAAAGGATTTAGAACTATGGTCTACTATGATATTAGTACTGCTCTAATAATAGACCTAATCCTAAAATTGTAGATTTGTCATGATATAACCGCCTAATCTATAAGATCTTACGTGGAAGTCACACCATCGACTACACCACCACACTGTATCGTATCAATTGCCAATACATGATGTGGAACAAGGTTAGTTTAGAGAAGGAACAATATATTTAATATGAATAGAAGATATAAGGTAACATTCAGAGGGACCACGCCTGCATGGCCAAGCCATGCCACTCGATCAACTCCAGTCCATTCAATTCATTCTTCTGGCCTTCTCCATCGTTAGGTATTTCTTCGCGTTAAATATTGAATATCTATTTTCTGAGTAGTCTTGTGTTCAGCTTTGAGGATTGTGTGGTTGTGGTCCAATGTCACTACAAGGATACCGAGATCGTGCTAGGATACAAGCTTGGTTACAGAACGTAACCGCGCGAAGTCACAATCAGAGTGTGTATAATGGATGTTTTTTAGCACAGTTAAACAAAAGCATATTAAAACAGTCACTGGTAGAATTGGTTACAATAATGATTGTTTTCGATAAACCAATCATGTTCTCGTGATAAAGGTGAGTCACTACATGCTTCTATCGACAGAACGAAGGATAACCACTAGTAAGAAATCGGTGAGCCCTGTTTTTAACACAAAAAATTAATTTCTGTTTTGCCTATCTTTTTCTTAGCTATAATAGTAAGTCTTCTGATTAACATTAACTTCGTGTATATATTTATATCTATTGTTTTTAGTCGCAAATTGTTTGTATTGCCATTATTTTACCTTATTCATATCATAATAATATTTTGGTCATATACCACATGTCAGTCTCCATCCAAACCGAAAACCTGGAGGATAAATGTAATTTATCAGTGGTAGAGATAGACACTGTTATACCTAAGTCCTACTTCCAGAATTTGATCGTAGTGACCCCAGGTTATGTTTCGCTCAACTGGAGTACTATTTTACGAGAAACCATATTACATCTGAGGAAATTCGCTACCGAGATTTATACTCTGTAGTGTTTTCGTGCCTTAAAGTAACCCTCGTGCTACTGATAGAAGAAACCAGAGAAGTAGTGAATAGGTCTTTATTTCGATCTCAGCGCGGTAACAGTGGAGCGTCGGATTACCTGTTCAGACAAACAAAGGCTCTCAACATTCAATATAAGATAATAGGGAATATAACGCTTATACAAAACAAGGAAGTGAATGAATACTTGAACAGTACTGTTTTGGTATATGCTTGGTTGTTTGGGGTCAACTCTTAACCAACCAACCTAGGCTGTTACAGTGTCTCCTTCAGTCGCCAAGGATGTCTGCGAATTATTTTGAGTCCACTTTTCGTGCCTCTAGGTAACCCTTGTGTTATTGATAGAAGAAACCAGACAAGTAGTGAATAAGTCTTTATTTAGATCTTTGTGCAGTCACAGTGGAGCGTGGGATTATTTGTCCAGACAAATAAAGCCTCTGAACATTCAACATAAGGTAATAGGAAATATAAGGTCTATACAAAATAAAGTGAATGAATACTTGAACTATACTGTCTTGACACATGCTTAGTTGTTTGAAGTGAACTCTTAACCAATAAACCTAACATCACAACTATGTACCATTTTAAAATGGTAGTTTACAAACCGTCTATCATAATCAGACGGCCAAAGAATTCAAAGGTTTGTAGTAGCATAACTATGCAATCCTCAGAGCTGAACGTGAGATAACTGGAAACATAGATATTCAACACTTAACACGAAAAGAATGCCAACAGTGATGAACGCAGGAAAAATCATTCGAAATTCATTGGCATGTCTCATCCTTGCAGACGTGGTCATTCTGCATAACTTATGCCTACCCACATTAAATACATTATTCTGTATTTAGCCTAACTGTGTCCTTCAGGGGCGCTCATTCTTACGATACAACGAGGAACCAAAACGTCATCGGTTCATTCCCTTTTTTAATGTTACATTTTGATGTTTCCAAAGGATAGTTTAATTTTATATAAATGTAGTTGAGTTGTGTAATTGTTTTGTTCGCACTTTTGGCTGATTGTGGAATAAACTATTCCGTCATATGAACTGGTCTTCTTCCTCTTGTTAGCGGAGCTGGGACTCGTCGGGACAATTAACTTTTCTTATCGTTGTGTCGTTATTCCTTTTTTCCGTTCACCCATTTTAATTGATCTCGTAATTTCTCGAAGCATAGCAGGTGTATTGACGACTTATTAATTACTAGTCTGGTTTACAATCACACAAACAACAAGTAGGAGCAGTGACTAAACAGTTAAATGAAAATAGAATAAACATGCATCAAAGTAAATGTGTTTTTGATGTTCAAACTCCAGAATTTTTCGGACACACAATGAGCCCAGAAGAGATTACACCACTAAAAAATGGACCCCATCAGATAATGCCTCATACCTAGTTCTCCAACGCGACTTAGAAGTTTTCAAGCTCTGATCAACTTTTATTGTAGATTCAAACCCATTTATGTCCAACAGTCCAACATCTGATATATCCACTTAAACGAAAACCAAAAGAAATTAAGCTCACTCCTGACGTTATTACGGCTATTGAACAGCTAAATGATAGACTAGCTAAAACATCTACGTTGAAATATTCAAAATCCCGTCAATGGTGACTGCTTCGGAGAAAACAGTGGGCCGTATCCGTAACCAACTGGATGAAAAACGCCTAGAAACAGATTATGTTCGTCTCAAAAAGAATCGCACCGTCAGGGACGAGATATTCTGCCTTCTGAAGAAAAATTGTCGCAATCTAACTGACCGTTAAGCATTTGCGACAATGTTGAAAACCAAGGACTCCATAGTTTATACGGACCATATACCACTAAACAATTCATTAAAAACGTGACTCCATAAGTATTCTCCTTGAGAGGTTTAATACCTTAACTGTATATCATAGTTCACCAGCCGTATCCGACATGTCAAAGGTCGGGACAGTCATGCGGCAGATGCATTATCTCCGCTAGAAATGAACATAATACAACAATCTGCAGTAAATTTTGGAGCTCTGAGAAGCAAACAGAAAGAGGATCAAGATTCGCAAAACCTACTCACAGCAAAGAACTCTAGTCTGAAATTGAGACATCTACCATCACATATAGAATGTAGTCTTAGTTATATTGGGAATAAGAACAGCTGTCAAAACTGATTCACAGTGTCCAACAGTAAAACTAGTCTTTTGTAGCGTGGCGTCGAGTTAAGGTTAACTATGAACACCGCTACCAAGAAACACGTGCCAAGCGAATCAGAAGGCGAGGGTTGGACGTAACCAAATAGATCCATAAAATCCCCGAGAAGCCAAATATCAGAAGACGGTTAATGGACCAAGTCGAGGTTTATTAGCTGGCGATCTCGTGGCATCGAAAGGATACCGAGATCGTGCCAAGATACAACCTTGGTTACAGGTAACCGAATTCGCGCGAAGTTACAATCGAAGTGTAAGTAAAAGAATGGAAGCACAATATAGCTGTCATTAGCACAGTCAAACAAAAGCACGTTAAAACAAACACTGGTACAGTTGGTTATAATAATAATTGTTTTTATTAAACCAGTCGTGTTCTCGTGATAAATGTGAGTCACTACACTTTAACAAAACTCTAAGACTACTGGGTGAG